AATCACATCTCAGATTTGTCTCAGTGGGGATTTGAACCTGCACTAAGCAAGCGTTCGAACACCTTGGAAAAAAAAAAAGATACTTTAATCCTATTGGCTGATTTTCTGTTACAGCTATTCGCAACTTGCCTCACTAAGACAGGTAAGAGTTCAGACACTGATCTCACAATGCCAGAATACTTCAGCAAAGACGCCAGGCCTGGATAGAAATGCAAATAAGTCCTATGTTATTCAACTTAGAACATTTACAATCACTTACTTGATTGTAAATCTCATCAAAACACAGACTGATCTCCTGCTGTGGAGAAACTAACCAGATAAAACCTTCTCACTCATGACCCCAACAGACCCTAGAATCGCAGCTTGTGACCAGTTTAACACGCAAATGTGACGAGAGATAGGTCAAAGTTTTCTCATTCTTCACCGTGAACCCTTCTCTCGTCACTAAAACATATGTAGTAACTGAGAGGAAGTAATTTTCACAAACACGTGCACTTTGTTTAAACCCCCACACACCTGGGCGCCACACCTGGTTGGTTGCCATGGTGATGTTTAGGTGATTGTGTTGCGTGTTGGTACAAAGATCAGAGATTTATCGTCTGGGTGGCATTCCCTCACAGTTTCCACTCATATAGTACAAAAAGATAACCATGAGGTGTTTCCCTATTTTATGCTCCTGGTTTTGTAACGATAAGAATTTATCTACGTTCAGAGTAGACCTCTCCTAAAGTGAAGCTGCTCCATTGTCCCTTCTGGGCCTCTGTACATGTGTGGTGGTGTGTCTGCAGAGACCCTGTTCTCTTTTCTGGGCGGGGAGGAGCTGGTGTGTTTCCTCCAGCCAATGACAGCGCAGCAGGTGAGTTTAGGAGTGGATAGAGATAACAGGTGCAAGAAGAAAAAGTTTGAACAGCAGAGAAACACTGTAGGGAAGTTGGATAAATCATTACTCCTGTTCAGCCCAAGCAGCAACCTCCGGTGTTGAAACATGAAGCCAGGATCTAACGTACTTAGACCTTTATCAACGTGAGCCTCTGAATCCAAACGACACCCCTTCATCTCCTTCACTGGATCATAAATATGAATGTTTTCACTTGGGAGGAGTTTTCTCTCATCTCAGTATCTTTATGAGATCGGGACTTCCACATAAACTCCTGAGTCATGTTGAGGATGCTATATTTTATGATTTCAGTCCAATCACACTTAGACGAGAGCTGATCTCAAAGATTATTTTTAAAGTTTAATTTTTTATGTTTTGAAACTGGACGGTGTGTCTTCAGATCAGGTGATGTTTGTCATTTTTAATCATGCACAGTATAGAGGGCTACAGGGGATGACGTATTTCTGTAAGCTAACCCAGAAGTTAGGAACACACTGGTTCCCTCGACAAAAAGCCTACTGGGGTTTTCTGTGGGTTTAGGATTATCGCTGACAATAAACTCTGTGGTGAAAACCCGCAGCCCGACCTGTTACGTCCTCCGAGCAGCACGGTAAATGTGTCATCATAACCTCAAGACGATGGAACCAGCAGATTCTATTTCTAGGTTTAAGGACTCGTTACTGCATCACTCTGTGATCTAATGTTTTCTTTTATGACTCTTACAAAAAAATAAAAAATACATCCCCAGGTTTCCCGTAAGCTTCCTTCAAGATATCTGTGAATCAAAAGCACTGTGCACACATTCTTGTTTAAACAGAACAAATAACACTTTGTCTGCTTTCTATTCATTCTTCCTGTGACTCAGATCAAAACTCTTAAAGAGAAACGACCAAGACAAGAAAGAGAAAGTTCTTCAAACGCGTCGAAACTCAAACACTGGCTGCACTCAGATTCAATGACTAACTACAGCAGCTTTAAGTTATACAAATCTCATTCCACCTGAACTTTCTGACACAAGTTAAACTACAAAACTCTTCATGCCCATTTTGTGTGTGTATGACTTAAACCACCCGAAACGTGGATGTGGCATTGGGGTTCAAGCTGAATTTAAAATGTCAATTTGTTTAAAGATTTAAGTGAATTTAGTCATATCCGTGCTTACTGTAAGTCTTCCTTCACAATTATCATCTCCTCTTCCATTAACTCACACTCACTTTAAAATGTATAAAACACTGCTGTGTACGCCTGGCCTAAAAGACAAAGGGAGAACAAAATGGGGGTTAGTAACTTAATCCGTCACAGCAGAGTAAAACAGTGTACCAAGATTTGACAGAAACTATCACTTAATTAAGAAAGTCAGTTTAAAGGAGCAATATGTAACTCTGACCCCTCGTGTTTAAAATGGGTACTGCAGTCGAAAATCTAAACATTGTAGAGAGCTGTCTCCCCCCGCCCCCTCCTCTCTAGAGTCATTGCTCACACAGGTCACCATGTGGTGGACACTGAAGCTTCAGTGTTTATCCAGCTCTGCATCAGTCTGTAAACCTTTCTGTGTTCTAAACTCTCTCCATTTTTCAAAAGCATCTCCAATATTGATCCTAGTTTGAACAAGTTTTTCTGCTCGTGGAGCTTATTAGAAACATCAGAGCCTTTTTAGGTCGGGTACAATAACTTCTTTGCTTTCCTTTGTATCTTCAAAGGTCTTGAACATAAAACTCTGACACAACCTGTTTTAGAATATTGAGCCTGATTCAGTACCACGATAGTGTCAGTTGATCTGTTACGGTATGTGAGCTCTAATTAAAGGATTTATCCGTATTGTGAAATCTGGCGCCTTCCTCCTGCTCCTCTTATCTCTGACTGAAATGTGTGACTAAGAAGTTTTAAAAGTCGAGATAAAGAAACTTTAATGTGCCTAGGTGTGACAGGGGAGAAAACAAATTCTTTAACAAAACACATTTATACCTTTTCTTTGGGCAGATCTTAGTCCATACCATGGAAAATGTAAAAGATTGTCGCTTCATACTTAAATGTGCAGAAAAATTGTTAATTGAAAAAAGACAATAAATAAAAAAACTGCAATTAAATAAAAACAAAAATAATCATTTAATATAAAACGGTAAGAAACCATGCCCCTGATTCTAAATCTCTTTAAACATTAATATAACGTAAACAGGTGAGTTAAACATTCAGCTCGTACAGTTGAAGAGAGAAATGAGCTCTAGAAACCTAAACTGTTTTTGTACCAGGCTGTAAACCAAGCAGCATCCTGCGGTGTTGAAACATGAAGCCGATGCTGAAGTGTAAAATCCTGCAGTTCATCGAGTTTCCACTAGAGGCTGACTGCAGAAGCACAGGAAGTCACATACACACCCATTCAAAAAGCCTGTTTTTACAGCAGAGATTAACATGTTTACAGCCTGGTTCAAAAAAACAAATAAGTCTGATTAGCTCATATCTCGATCGGCACACACTGTCCGGGGGGGGGGGTGAATGTTTTGATGACTCATCAGTTTTGATTTGATGAAGGATAAGAGTTATTCACAATAAGGCGTGTAGCTGACATGACTGACAGGCAGGCGCGATGTCTGTTCCCCTGCAGGAACAGATGTCACTAAGGCTTCAAACATTCATATTTACAGTTTATGGTATGAAGATGTTTGTATCAGCTGTAAAGTTGGAAATTTTAACATGGGGCTCTATGGGGACTGACTCACTGCAGGAGACAGACTCTAGTGAACATTTGGGGAAGTGCAGATTCAATTTCATTTGGTAAATAGATTTTAAAAAATCCACAAAACCCCATTTCTCCTCAGGCTGCTGCTTATCTGTGCAAACTCAAAGTTGGGAGTCATATTTAAAGTAGGTGCAATTATCAACATACACAGTGACCTAAATGAATATTATCTGGAACCTTCTGTAGGTTTACAGAACGTTCCTGATAAGACTGATTATTATTCCTTCATCCTCTGTTCAAAAGTTTGTACTAAACAGTAATTTAGGAACTGTGTTTTTTACCCAACTACATTTTTCATTTTTTATTACAGACTTTTTCCTCATCTTCCCTAAACGTCAAGCTTTGTTTCTCATGCCCAGTGAAGACTATACGTTTTTGGGCCGTCCTAAACAAAAAAAGATCAATCGCTGTCACATCAATAGTCGTGGCTTTTGGTGAAGTGAGGATTATTTTTGCAAAGTGAGCACATCTATGATTGTCTGAACCCCAAGACACTTCCAAACTCATTAGTCCAATCATTTCTAATCTTCGTACATATTTATTCTTAATTTTGATTATCCGATATTAATGTTTGGGCATTAAAAAAATGACAATCTTAGAATGAAGGGGTGTCAGTATTTTTGATCATTTCAGTAGAAAGGGAATCAGTGAGTTCTTAGAGAACTCAGATAAAGTGTCACAGTCTACGCAGTGAGCCAGAGGTCAAACTGCACATGGAAAGTTAGTCAGTGCGGTTGCTATGGACGACAAAGTTTAACAACAATGCACTGTCTATGTCATTAGCACTGAAGTAATGATGCTAAAAACAGAAACCAAGAAGAAGATACAGACAGTGAAAGACCTGATACCCTTCAAATGACTGTTAAGAGTCTGAAAATGGAACGCAGCCTGAATTCATGCATTTTTAGCTCTTTAGCAAGACGTCAACATCTCAACACTCACAAGAAAAAGTCAGTTGCCAACTACGCCGATGACAGATTGCATCAAGAGCATAATTCACTTTGGCCGACACAGATTTGGATCTAATTTCATCTCGGCTTTGAGTTAATTTCAAACAGCACTGCGTCTGTTTTGTCTGTTGGGAACACACCATAACAAGCTAAATAAAATGTCCCGTAGGTGCGATATCAGCCGCAGTTATTGAAGTCTTTTCATTAAAACCAAAGGCAGATGTCACTCAAATCTCTGCTTCAATTCAAACTTTTAGTAAGACACTTTGTGACCGACGCTTCAGCCGACCTCGCTACAACACTGACTCGTTTCATATCTTAATACATAATGACGCTATACCAGAGAGCCCACTTTTATGGCGGCTCTGGTTCCCCGTTCAAATGCTCTATTGACAATTAACTACATCCTTATATCAAGAGATTGACGCCTGTAACCATGACAACCAGCTACCCCAATACTCGTGACTATAAATAATTTAATTCAGCGCAAAAACAGTGTTAAAAGACAAAGAATAAAGTTAAGGTAAGAGACTGTGTACATCATTTTCGTCTGGAGTCAGTGAACTACACATCACACAATGCATTGTGAATAATGCCTCTTCTTCAATGTAACTTTAGTTGTTGTTATTGTGTTTATTGTGTTAATACACGGGTTGTGATATGTTGTAGTTTGTGTTGTTGAATATATAACATAATGTAATATATGACATTCACTTCAGGAGAACAAGGTTATTAGAACGTTTACTGTTAGCTACTAGCTAGCTAGTTAGCTAGTGAAACTATGCATTTGTTCACATTTGGCACTGAGGGGCAGGAAACATTGCCATGGTAACAGCGAGCTCAGCCAATCAGAGACATTGCCTCAAGACTCTATGACCGTGGGTAGTGTAGTTCTTTTCCCCGATATCATGAATAAAGCATGTTGTTCCTAAAACGAGGTTGATATGTGTGTCTAGTTCGTTCTGTCCCGTCTCTCAAATCACAAATTCCTGTTTGGCTTGGCTGCCAAATGTCTTTATTTTTTACATATGTTACATAGGTTATGACATCATGGCTAATAATTAAATCCACTATGAGGAAATGAACAGAGATTTTGACTTCCTTAACTACACTGTTGAGCCCGGTTACTATTCATGAGCAGAATATACCTTATCATTCAGATTCCTTCCTTATTGTGTCCCCTCCCTTCACCTGAGGACAGGCGAGTCTTTGTCTCATAAATCAAAATGTCTAAACACAGAACATGGCGAGGAAGGTGTGTCCCGATCAAAGTTTTCTGTTAATTACACAATAAGCTCCATCATGTCTCTTTTTGTAATGTAATGATGTAGTGTTTGATGGACATCCCCGCCCAGTGAGTGAACAGCTCAGAGGTCAGAAAGCACATGTACGCACCCAGGAGGACACACCCCGTCTCTATCGCTCGGTTACTCATTCACACAGTTTGCAACATCAAGAAATGCAGCAATTCAGCATCCAAACACCCCCCCCCCCCTCTCCACCAGTCACAGCCACTCTGTCTCCACCCAACCCCCCCATCCCCGTCCCTGAGTCCTCTGTATATAAATCCCTCTGCCGTGTCCCTGTGTCTTCCATCTGCTAGCTGCTAACAGTTAGCAATGGACTCTTTACATTTTATAATCCTGCTCTTATGGATGTGCAGCTGTGGAGCAGGACACAGGTGAGTCGACCCCTCTGAAATCATCGTGTCCATGAGAAAGAAATCACCCGAATAGATATTTCATTAAAAGTGGATAGAGTCTGAAATCAGGGAGAGAGAGAAGGGGGGTTTGACTTGTGGGAATGGAGCCACAGGTCGGTTTCGAGCCTGGGCCGCCCGCTTGGAGGGCTATGTCTCTGTACATGGGTCGTGCGTGCTAACCGCTAGGCATTGGCGCCTTGACTTTAATAAGCATTTGAGCATGTGTTGTTAAAGAACTTTTAAATAAGTGATAAATCGGATGAACTAAAGTGACTCATTGATTTTTACTGTCATCTTGTTTTTGTTTTATTCTCTCTTCGAGTTTCTTTGATTAGTAATCAAAATAAATGTTCTGTTAATCAGCTGATCAGTGCTCCAGACTCAGAGGTATATAATTATTATCATTATTTGTCTTTAATCCTGTTTTTAAAACATCATGTCTCTGCAGCTTGTCTGGGTTTGTGTCTGTTATAATGACCTGCTGGATGTGCTCTGATATTCTTATATTGCATCGTTACTCACTAAAGAAAATCATTTATTCAAAACAACGATTGTTTTCTTATGTCATGATTTTATATTGTGCTGTTTAAACACCATCAGCTGGATTTTATGGATCAAACTGCCTTTAAATGACAGAATCGTTTTATTGCAATGAATTGATGTAGATATTTTCTGTTGCACGGGACAGACTGACGACAGTAAGAGGACAGACTAACGACAGTCTGCTGCGATGTTCTGTCGATGTTTGAGTGATTTGAAGCTGATAATAGACCTGAGTGGGGACTAAAGTTATCACTCAGAGAGAATGTGTAAATGTGAAGCAGTAGACGATACACCTACAGCGAGATGACCTCAGGACGTTCTAACTGCAGATCAATGCTCATAAAGAAATTCCTTCATGTTAAATCATCAGAACTGAACACATGCTTTCAGCTGTTTCACCAAACTTTAATGTTTGTTTTTGATCTGATTTACAGGCTCCAGAAAAAACACAGAGACGATGGTGAGTTGTTTTTAATGATCCAATAAACCTTCTCTATCTTTATCTCGTACAAACACAGAGGAATTAAATAAACTAGAGAACAATATAAAAATAACTGGAGTGACGTGACAGCAGCAAGTCATGTGATCCACAGCCTGACCTTGAGATGGACTTGGACTTTAGATCTATACAGCTCCTTATCTGCAGATATACACCCAGCAAGCACTTTCACATAACTGTAAACACACACATGCAGCTCGTACAAACACACAGATATCAGCACTCAGTCAGAGCAATAAAATCACTGCCTCGTATTTTTAAACCTCTCATTAAAAAAATAAATCTTTATTTAAAATTGGTAAATCGACTTTAATTGAAAATAGTTTCACAAGAGTTAACACTATTTTAAGTACTTTAACGCTTAAAGGTAGAGCCAGTAGAAATGTTCATTGCAGCCAATCAGCATCCTCCGGTGTTGAATAAAGAAGACAATGCTGAAGAGCAAAAATCTTGCAGTTCATTGAGTATCCACTAGAGGCTGGCTGCAGAAGCACAGGAAGTCACATACACACCCATTCAAAAAGCCTGTTTTTACAGCAGAGATTAACATGTTTACAGCCTGGTTCAAAAAAACAAATGGGTCTGATTAGCTCATGTCTTGATCGACACACACTGTACGGGGGGGTGAATGTTTTGATGACTCATCAGTTTTGATTTGATGAAGGATAAGAGTTATTCACAATAAGGCATGTCGCTGACCTGATTGATAGGCAGGCACGGTGTAACGGTTTGTCAGGAGGCTTATAACCCGCCTCAGCTCCAGCTCTAAGCCCAGCCTGTCGTTAGGTTGACTAAAAGTTAGGATGAGACAGCATTTCCAGCATGGAGACCGCCACTGGACTCCAGCGCCCCCTGCAGGAACAGACGGGTGGCGTCACTCAGGCTTCAAACATATTTACAGTCTGTGGTTGCAGCTTGTAAACACAACATTCAATCTGGGCCCCTCCTCCTCCTGGGCTCATTGCCCCCAGAATCTCACCCTCACTGCAGGGCGTAGTGTTTACGTTTACTGCTTGTACCTACACTGCAAGCTAACACACGCTAACACAAGCTAACCGCCTGTGTTTTGTCACCTGCCTGTCCAGCAGGAAGCAGACCAACTCCACGTCCACGGGTAAAAGACAACAAAAGGTTCACCCTGGTTTTAGAACAAGCTTTATCTGCTTGGTGTTTCTCCTCACTGTGATTATATTTTCTCTTTGCTACTACGTCCACGTCCGTCATATTCACCAGTTTGAATCACGTCCAATCACTGAATTGTATCCACAAACTCACCTGCTGCACTGTCATTGGCTGGAGGAAACCACCAGCTCCGCCCAGAAACGTCCCAAGTCAACCAGAACAAAGCAGAACAGTAAAATCCAGTCAGAGGACAGGGTCTCTGCAGACACAGTCACCACCACACATGTATGGAGGCCCAGAAGGGACGATGGAGCAGAGAAGTCTGTATTTTATTTTGAAGGAACAAGCTGCTGACACTATCTTTAAAATCTAGAAACGGTGAACCTTTGCAAATTTCTAAAGAAATAAGACTTCAGTGAAATTATTTATTTTTTTACAAATGTATACAATTTGACTTAAGTAAGAGTAGAGAGAAATGTGACTTTTAAACGTACCGTCACTTTAAAGAAAATGACACAAACTTAACTCCTTTAAAGCTCCATTTATTCATTTGAATCGTGTTGTTGGTGGTTTTTTATGACACTGTTCTCTGTGTTATGTTGTTTGTCTTTCTCCAGCGGCGGTGCTGACCTCCTGCGACTTTAACCTGGACAGCGACCCATTCTGTAACTTCAAACAGGACTACACAGACGATAGCGACTGGACGAGACACAAAGGGGTCACCCCGACAGAAAGCACTGGCCCCCCTGGAGACTACCCTGATGGAAGTCAGTGCTGAATCATTCATTAGAAATGTCTTATTTCTGTACTGCTAACCAGACCAAGACTGACTTATGACAAATCCATCGATCTGTCTGCAGAGGGATTCTACATCTACCACGAGGGTGATAACGTGGCAAATGGAAAGAAGGCCCGTCTGCTGAGTCCTGTCATCTCGTCACCATCCAATCAGATCTGTGTCCAGTTTCGTTACTACATGTATGGCTCAGACAGTAGCAACGTTTTCAGGGTGCTGGCGAAGGATTCCAGCAAAGAGGAAAAAGTCTTTGAGAAAGTCGGATTACAGAGTCCATCCTGGCTTCTGGGTTCTGTCACAGTGTCAAAACCAAGCAGCGAAAATGTTCAAGTAAGTGTTAGCAGGTCGTAGTGTTGTGATGGTGTAACAGTGAAATGTGCATGGGAACAGTTCCTGCACTCTGTCTTAATTGCACACTTACATTACCAAGGAAAGGAACTCTTTGGCTCGCAGCAGCTTTAAGTTCAAATAGAAATGGTGATCTTACTGGTTTTTTTTGTTTTATTTTTTTCGGGGGGGGGGGGGGGCTGATATGCAAATGAATGTGCACAAAAATAGAGCCAGGGTGAGCAACGTGTGATAAGCTTCATTTCCACCAAGCCGTCTGGTTTGGTTCAGTACAGTTTGCAACGGTAAACCCTGATCTCGTTTACGTTTCTCAGCTAACCGTTCCCTTAGTTGGTAAGTAATGTGGTGTAAAAGCACTTTGAGGAGTCAGACATCTAGAAAAGAACTAAACAAGGCAAAGTCAAGTTAACATATCGCCATCTTGATTTCTTTTTAAGCCATAAATGAACAAATTGTGAAGCTGTAAGGGGGAGGAGTTAAAGTCAAAAGAAAAATGTCATGACAAATTTGGTGCAAATTGCAAACTAATTTACCACACAATCAAAGAAAATGTTTGTTAATACCAGTGAAGGGGGTTGCAAACCCTAACCCTACCCTCCAGTGTCCGGCCTCAAATTATATTGTGAAAAAATATGGTTGATGATAAAGCCACTAGAAATGCTTCTATCATCTTCACAACCTGATATAAATTGGCAACATCCCACAAGGTGTCAAAAGTAATCCGCCATAGAAATGTATGTGATCTAACCAGACTCAAAAGGATCTGCCTTAACGTGCCTTCAAACAGAGTCATCATGTTTTCTTTCTGCATTTGTAGATCATCTTCGAGGCTACAAGAGGCTTGACTGCTTCCTGTGACACAGCTGTGGACAACATTGTGATAAACGACGGCGCATGTCCTTGTGAGTTAACACACATCTACACATACATTCATACAGAAACACACTTCATCTAATCTTTATCTAATCTGTCTGAATGTTTTCCACAGCTTGTGTTTCTGGCTGTGATTTTGACGAGATGACTCCTGTGGGTGGACGACTGAAAACGATATCGACGAAATGTTTGGATTTGATTTCTTTGCTGGATCAACGGATACTGAAGGAAGTGGACCCGATGATGACTACTCGAAACCTGGCCGTAAGTGGTTCTTCTTTTAAATACTTGTGATACAATACAATAAAATATGATACTATATTATACAATACATTTGTCTTAGACCCAGACTTACTCTCTAACTTATTGGTAGTTGGCCGTCATGTGAACATGGAGATGAGCACCAACTCAAATACTCATTCTCATAAAATCAATTATTGTATTGAAGTTAGAATTCTAATAATAATGTCTACTACAAGCCGCAAAGTCAAAATCCTATGGTACATTTTTCTTCAGATGAAATCAGTCAAATAAAAATGTCAACAATGACTACCAATATATTAGCCCTGTTGCCAAACATATGTCGCTAAGATGAGTCCAAAATAATGTCAATAATCGACAAGATAGAAAGTTTATTTAATTAGTTTTACTTCATTCATATCTAACGGTAGATGTTTATTTGTTTTTTTCCCATATGTAGTGGGCCAATACATGTTGATGGACTCTGCTGAGGCTGTCCCTGGTGTCAAGTCTAAGCTCATAAGTCCTCTATTAACCCCAACCTCCAAATGTCTGGACCTCACCTTCTACTATACCCTGTTTGGCACCAGCAACAACATGGAGATCAGCGTGCACACCATCAGTGAAGGTATAACAAATTGCTTTTCTTCTAAAGTCAGCCAATACAGGATGTCAGACAGTAAAAAGTGTTTGACTTGAAGTCGTTCTTTTTATTTACCAGGTGGAACCATTGGACCTGCTCTCTTCACTGTCAGAGGAAACCAGGGTCAAGGATGGAGGCCTGCAGAGGTCCGCTACATAGGAACTGCCGCCATCAAGGTAAATACTTGAATATGTCTCTATGTATGTTTAAGCATGTGTAGAAAAAATTGTGTTGTATTGACTTTATTTTTTCACTTCAGTTTGCTATTGTGGGTACCTTTGGAGAGACTCCACTGACAGATATTGCTGTTGATGCCGTGTGTGTCCTGGCCTGTAAAGGTGAGGAACTAAACTGAGGGACTCATGTTACTTCACCTTCAATCAGAAATATGTTCATGCTCTCTAAATGATACTTGGCTTCATGTTGATGCTTCAATTGTTTTTACATATAGCACTACCAACCACTCCTCAACCTCCTGTTACAACTCCTGGTCCATCAACACCAAAACCAACAACTCCTGGACCTACTACACCCAAACCAACAACTCCTGGGCCAAGTACACCCAGACCAACAACTCCAAGACCAACAACAACCAAACCACCAAGTAAGACATGTCGTTATTAAAGTTTGGTTTTGTATTCCAATTCCAATTAATTTATAGTTCTAAGCTTCCCATTAACCAATTTCGTTTTTCCCCTGCTGTACAGATCCATGTCCTCCTAATTCAGAGTATATAGACTGTGGTCCAGCTTGTATTCCCACCTGTATGGAACCCTCCACCAACTGCACTGGCTCCTGTATTAGCGGCTGCTTCTGCAAACCAGGGTTTGTCTTTAAGGGGCGGCGCTGTGTGCCATTGGAACAATGTGGCTGCTTGGATGACAACAACAACTATTATGAGGTCAGATATCCTGGCTAATATTCCCCATATGCAAACATTTCTGCTCAGTACAAGGATGAAATGACGATAAATCATGGTACTGATTCCTTGTTGAATCTTGTTTCAGCCTGGGGAGATTGTTGTCGGTGATGGCTGCTCAAAGCTGTGTCACTGTGCAGGGAACTACACTTTGGAATGTGTTGATAACTCCTGTGCCGCAGATGAAGAGTGTCGAGAGGTTAATGGTGTTTCAGGCTGCTATCCTAAAGGTAGATGATTCTGCATCTGACAAGTCTCACCTCCAACTTAACCTCTGAATAGCCAATATGGTCCTGGGTGATATGACCATTTGATGTATTTTTTATTCATTGGTTTAATTTGGGCTACCTTAGACTTCAAATCCCTGTTAAGTTTATAACATAAAGTGTCTCATTTGAATTTCCCTTAGGTACATCTTCGTGCATAGCGTCCGGTGATCCCCATTACACCACCTTTGACAAACGAAAGTACAACTTCATGGGTAACTGTAGCTATTTGATGTCTGCACCGTGCAATACAACATCTCTGCAGTACTTTGAGGTCCATGCCGACAATGAAAATCGTCACAACAGACCAACCATCTCCTATGTGAAAGCCGTACATGTGTATGTACGTCATGTGAAGATCTCCATTCTTAAAGGTGGTACTGTCCAGGTAAGGCATGAAGGGAGGACCTGACACAATTTTGGCAGGGTTACAAGAATCATATACCACATATCTACAAGAGTGCCCATGTAACTTTACTCTACATTATATCTCATAATGTCATTATGTCTGTTTTCCTAAAACAGGTGAATGGGACCAATGTTAACCTGCCTGTGTCACCGGCCCCTGGTGTCTCTGTGTACAAATCTGGAAAGCACTACACAGTGTCCACAGACTTTGGTTTAACTGTTCGCTATGATGGAAACCACTTCATGGACATTAAAGTTATTAAAGAGTGAGTGAAGGCTGAAGTTAAAATGCTGAAATAGTCACTGATGAATCATGAGAGTACTTGGTTTTAATTAAATGAAGTAAAATATGAATGTCCATGGTTAAGATCTCTCACTTCCACAAATCACTAATTTGTTCTTTTTGTTAATTGTTTGTAGCTACCAGGACATGCTGTGTGGACTGTGTGGAAACTATGATGGAGATACCAAAGATGATTTCCGTAAACCAGATGGAATATTGACCAACAGCGCCAATGAGTTTGGACACAGCTGGAACACTGATCCAGAGTGAGTAGCATGCATTGATTCTACAGATTATTGCTGGAATGAGGAATGTCCGGGTTAACTTGCTTAGCCTAATGCCACTGCCTTCCAGACCCTGATAAGTTAAGGAGATGGATAGTTCACCAAATACTTGTTAAATGATCCAACCATTCTCTTCCACTGAACCAGGGACTTGTTGCCGTGGCAGTATTCCCAACATGGTATTTCAGATGTTCCTCTTTCCAGCAATGTTTACGTGCTCCTCCTTGGAAATTTCAAGGCTTTCCTAGTTCAAATATTATACACGATAAATATGCCCTGTTGAGAGCTCTGAGTGTACCACATGGTCTCCTCTTAGCACGTGGAAAACCTCCTGTGCACTAGAGGATCCCAATGAGATGTCACTTAGGCCCATCTTTGCAATTACCAGAGAAAGTAACTTACTGACCTTCACAAACAGAGCTTCACTAAATGACAGTCTGTGCTGGCAGGTGTAACAAGAAGCCTAATACCACCATCCCTGAATGCGATGAAGAAGAACAGGACCTTTACGAGAGCTCTGGATACTGTGGCATTTTGCTGGACCGAAATGGTCCCTTCGCTGTGTGCCACCCCAAAGTCAACCCCAATGTAAGCAATAACTCTCACAAACAAACACAATTACACTGTTATAAGGTATATGAATATAGAAATGTCCCCTGTGATGTTGTTAAATTTCAAGTACATTTCCATCCCGCCCTTGGGCCGTACCCCTTTGATCAGCATACTGTCAGGTTTTCTTCATCTCCATCCATCCATCCATCCATCCTTCTTTCCTTGCTTCCTTGTTCCTTCCTTTCTTCCTTCCTTGCTTCCTTCCTTCCTTCCTTTCTTCTTTGTCTGAACAACCTCAACTGGCTCCTTTCAATGCAAAGGAGCAGCAGCTCTACTTAGAGTTCCCTACAGAAGTCTAAGCTCATCACCTTGTCTCTTAGGCTGAACCAAGTAACTCTTCAGGGGACGTCGCTGAACCTAGATCAATTAGTAAATTGAAAGCTTTGCCTTTATGCTCAGCTCCCTCTTCACCACGAGTACAGTGCAGAGTTGCCTAAATTATTGCTGATGCTGGAACAACTTGCCTGCCAATCTCATGATCCATTTAATCCTCACCTGAAAACAAGATCTCGATTTACTTTTACTCTTCCACTTAGGCAAAAGACTTGCTCCCCATTTGGAGTGAAACAATCCACCATTTTCCACAGCTCTCACTTTGATCATACATGGAACAGATGGCAAGGAAAAAGAGTTGGCCCGATCTCCCATGGGCAGGACAGAATCTGCGTTGTCCTAAAGTATCAAAAGTTTAAAAACATCTGAAATCTCCTTTCCAGCACCCTAGAGGTCACTTTTCCTGAGTAGCGTGATACCCTGTTAGTTGAAGCACACCCTCTGGTCCTACTTTTCTGAGAGTCAGATCCCCCACCCCAGACCGTTCCAAAGACACTGTCCAAGACCTCCAGAAAACACTGAAGAGGCATGTCATCCAAGACAGCTCAACAATGTCCAGAGCCTTCAGCATCTCAGGGTTGATCTCATCCATTCCTGGCGCCCTGCCACTGAGGAGCCTTTTGACTACCTCAGCGACCTGTGCCAAGGGTTTTGATAAAGCTTCCACTGGATCTTCATACTTCACCTCCTCATCATAGAACACATTGGTTGGGGTCAGGTATTGAGTAATTGAGTATTCCCATAGATGCCTGCCACCCCTCATCATGGGCAACTCCAGAAAAGTGGAGAGTCCGGTGCCTCCCTAGGAGTTTGGTTCAAGAATTGGTGCAGGTGTGTGGTGGTGTTCCCAACTATATCTAGCTGGTACCGCTCCATCTCCTGCACCACCTCGGTTCCTTCCCCGCCAGAGGTCTGACATGCTATGTACCAAGAACCACTCAGCATTGCAAGGGATCAGCATATCCAGGCCCCTGCTTTCGCCTTCCAAAGCACTAGATCCCCATGACCATCTCTGCAGGTGGTGGGCCTATTTGAAAAAAAAGCCCCAAATTCAGTAATTGGTGGGGGGCTTTGTGTGGTATTGCTAATCTGTGGAAAATCTTAAAATATGAGGATTTCCTGCACTCAAAGTAATGATTGATTTCATTGAGTAACTTTTACTTGACCAACATTCTTCAGATGGTATAGCAAGGGTCATGTCATTGGTAGCATGTAGATGGTAAATATGTGGTTAAATCATCTTTGTAGGTGTTTTTTTGTGACTTGGTCTTGTTTGTTGTTTTCAGAATTACTTCCAGGACTGTCTCTTTGATCTGTGCGAGTTGGATGGAGCCAAGCCCATTCTGTGTGAAGCCATTGAAGCATACGTCAATGAATGCCAGGACCGTGGTGTCAGTGTTAGACCCTGGAGGAATGAAACCTTCTGCCGTGAGTGTTGAGTGAGCGGATGGATTGGAATGTGGGGAGGTCTAGACAGAAGCAACTATAGAGTTTCTTCCAAAGGGTTTAGAGTCTTTCAGATTGGATGCGGTGTAGGCTGTGCTCGCCGAAGTTTAGGGCACATAGCAGAAGGGGAGAGCTCACACACACAAAGCAACGGCGCTAATTGCTAGGTGACCGAAACAATAGTCGGGGAAATAGCTACTTTTTTGATGCAAAGTATTTATGTGTCTGTCCACTAATCAGTAGAAATACTGACATTTCTCTCGCTTAGGAGGAGGACAGGTCATGGTTTAAACATCTGTCTCTTCTCTACGTTATTGCTATCACTTAACTCAGTTTCCCATTCTCCCCCCAGCTCTGAAATGCCCCCCCCAACAGCCACTATCAGCCCTGTGCAGACCCCTGTCAGAACACCTGTTCTGGGAAACCTCCATCCTGTGGCGGGCCTTGCTCTGAAGGCTGTGTGTGTGATCCAGGCTACATCCTGAGTGCTGGAAAGTGTGTCCAGGAGAGTTCCTGTGGTTGCAAACACACTAACGGACAGTACTACGAGGTAGGTGAAAATTAGAGCTGGGTTTAGGTTTAGGTTGGAATCACGGTGGGGATTGAATATTGTGCATCTGTATGTGTGTGGTGGTGGTTGTTCAAGAGGGGGGGGTGTGAGGTATAGGTTTAGTAAATGTTGACCCTCTGCACATTTCTAAATGTCTTATTAAAATGGTAATTAACAATTCTGATATGTTTGTTTTTGTGTCTGTGTGTGTGTTTAAGCCAGGAGAGGAGTTTTATTTGGAGGACTGCCAGATAAAGTGCAGGTGTAATGCCCCCTTCGTTTCCTGTTCGGCCCATGACTGCCCCCCCAATGCAGGAGTGTAAAAACCTGGACGGAGACTTGGGATGCTATCCAATCGGTAAGTTAGCACCATTATGAGGAGACTTTTGAATATATGTAACAAAAAGGGTTCAAACTCCTCCTTAGTAATTGAAATAACTTGTTGTAATTTGTGAAGGTTGTTTACATGCCACATTTTTCTATGTCCATTAATTTCAGTGTTAACCACATATTTAGCTGATTTGCAAGAAAATATATGATGTAACTGGGTTTTGATTGCTTGGAGAAATTTGCTCTTAAATCTATATATTCCATATACAATTCAGATATATGGAGCATTGTGACTCCAGTACTAAATTTGAAAAGACATGAGAAATAACATTCACCCATGGATGCTGGTAAAATTATGAAAGCATGAAAGTTAAAACCTGGTTTCATGATAAAATATTATTTTTCATTTATAGCACCACCAACAACTCCTCGTCCATCAACACCAAAACCAACAACTCCAAGACCTACAACAACCAAACCACCAAGTAAGACATGTCGTTATTGAAGTCTGGTTTTGTATTCCAATTACAAATAATTTATAGTTCTAAGTTTTCCATTAACCGATTCCGTTTTTCCCCTGCTGTACAGATCCATGTCCCCCTAATTCAGAGTATATAGACTGTGGTCCAGCTTGTATTCCCACCTGTATGGAACCCTCCACCAACTGCACTGGCTCCTGTATTAGCGGCTGCTTCTGCAAACCAGGGTTTGTCTTTAAGGGGCGGCACTGTGTGCCATTGGAACAATGTGGCTGCCTGGATGACAACAACAACTATTATGAGGTCAGATGTCCTGGCTAATATTCCCCATATGCAAACATTTCTGCTCAGTACAAGGATGAAATGACGATAAATCATGGTACTGATTCCTTGTTGAATCTTGTTTCAGCCTGGGGAGATTGTTGTCGGTGATGGCTGCTCAAAGCTGTGTCGCTGTGCAGGGAACTACACTTTGGAATGTGTTGATAACTCCTGTGCCGCAGATGAAGAGTGTCGAGAGGTTAATGGTGTTTCAGGCTGCTATCCTAAAGGTAGATGATTCTGCATCTGACAAGTCTCACCTCCAACTTAACCTCTGAATAGCCAATATGGTCCTGGGTGATATGACCATTTGATGTATTTTTTATTCATTGGTTTAATTTGGGCTACCTTAGACTTCAAATCCCTGTTAAGTTTATAACATAAAGTGTCTCATTTGAATTTCCCTTAGGTACATCTTCGTGTATAGCGTCCGGTGATCCCCATTACACCACCTTTGACAAACGAAAGTACAACTTCATGGGTAACTGTAGCTATTTGATGTCTGCACCGTGCAATACAACATCTCTGCAGTACTTTGAGGTCCATGCCGACAATGAAAATCGTCACAACAGACCAACCATCTCCTATGTGAAAGCCGTACATGTGTATGTACGTCATGTGAAGATCTCCATTCTTAAAGGTGGTACTGTCCAGGTAAGGCATGAAGGGAGGACCTGACACAATTTTGGCAGGGTTACAAGAATCATATACCACATATCTACAAGAGTGCCCATGTAACTTTACTCTACATTATATCTCATAATGTCATTATGTCTGTTTTCCTAAAACAGGTGAATGGGACCAATGTTAACCTGCCTGTGTCACCGGCCCCTGGTGTCTCTGTGTACAAATCTGGAAAGCACTACACAGTGTCCACAGACTTTGGTTTAACTGTTCGCTATGATGGAAACCACTTCATGGACATTAAAGTTATTAAAGAGTGAGTGAAGGCTGAAGTTAAAATGCTGAAATAGTCACTGATGAATCATGAGAGTACTTGGTTTTAATTAAATGAAGTAAAATATGAATGTCCATGGTTAAGATCTCTCACTTCCACAAATCACTAATTTGTTCTTTTTGTTAATTGTTTGTAGCTATCAGGACATGCTGTGTGGACTGTGTGGAAACTATGATGGAGATACCAAAGATGATTTCCGTAAACCAGATGGAATATTGACCAACAGCGCCAATGAGTTTGGACACAGCTGGAACACTGATCCAGAGTGAGTAGCATGCATTGATTCTACAGATTATTGCTGGAATGAGGAATGTCCGGGTTAACTTGCTTAGCCTAATGCCACTGCCTTCCAGACCCTGATAAGTTAAGGAGATGGATAGTTCACCAAATACTTGTTAAATGATCCAACCATTCTCTTCCACTGAACCAGGGACTTGTTGCCGTGGCAGTATTCCCAACATGGTATTTCAGATGTTCCTCTTTCCAGCAATGTTTACATGCTCCTCCTTGGAAATTTCAAGGCTTTCCTAGTTCAAATATTATACACGATAAATATGCCCTGTTGAGAGCTCTGAGTGTACCACATGGTCTCCTCTTAGCACGTGGAAAACCTCCTGTGCACTAGAGGATCCCAATGAGATGTCACTTAGGCCCATCTTTGCAATTACCAGAGAAAGTAACTTACTGACCTTCACAAACAGAGCTTCACTAAATGACAGTCTGTGCTGGCAGGTGTAACAAGAAGCCTAATACCACCATCCCTGAATGCGATGAAGAAGAACAGGACCTTTACGAGAGCTCTGGATACTGTGGCATTTTGCTGGACCGAAATGGTCCCTTCGCTGTGTGCCACCCCAAAGTCAACCCCAATGTAAGCAATAACTCTCACAAACAAACACAATTACACTGTTATAAGGTATATGAATATAGAAATGTCCCCTGTGATGTTGTTAAATTTCAAGTACATTTCCATCCGCCCTTGGGCCGTACCCCTTTGATCAGCATACTGTCAGGTTTTCTTCATCTCCATCCATCCATCCATCCATCCTTCTTTCCTTGCTTCCTTGTTCCTTCCTTTCTTCCTTCCTTGCTTCCTTCCTTCCTTCCTTTCTTCTTTGTCTGAACAACCTCAACTGGCTCCTTTCAATGCAAAGGAGCAGCAGCTCTACTTAGAGTTCCCTACAGAAGTCTAAGCTCATCACCTTGTCTCTTAGGCTGAACCAAGTAACTCTTCAGGGGACGTCGCTGAACCTAGATCAATTAGTAAATTGAAAGCTTTGCCTTTATGCTCAGCTCCCTCTTCACCACGAGTGTACAGTGCAGAGTTGCCTAAATTATTGCTGATGCTGGAACAACTTGCCTGCCAATCTCATGATCCATTTAATCCTCACCTGAAAACAAGATCTCGATTTACTTTTACTCTTCCACTTAGGCAAAAGACTTGCTCCCCATTTGGAGTGAAACAATCCACCATTTTCCACAGCTCTCACTTTGATCATACATGGAACAGATGGCAAGGAAAAAGAGTTGGCCCGATCTCCCATGGGCAGGACAGAATCTGCGTTGTCCTAAAGTATCAAAAGTTTAAAAACATCTGAAATCTCCTTTCCAGCACCCTAGAGGTCACTTTTCCTGAGTAGCGTGATACCCTGTTAGTTGAAGCACACCCTCTGGTCCTACTTTTCTGAGAGTCAGATCCCCCACCCCAGACCGTTCCAAAGACACTGTCCAAGACCTCCAGAAAACACTGAAGAGGCATGTCATCCAAGACAGCTCAACAATGTCCAGAGCCTTCAGCATCTCAGGGTTGATCTCATCCATTCCTGGCGCCCTGCCACTGAGGAGCCTTTTGACTACCTCAGCGACCTGTGCCAAGGGTTTTGATAAAGCTTCCACTGGATCTTCATACTTCACCTCCTCATCATAGAACACATTGGTTGGGGTCAGGTATTGAGTAATTGAGTATTCCCATAGATGCCTGCCACCCCTCATCATGGGCAACTCCAGAAAAGTGGAGAGTCCGGTGCCTCCCTAGGAGTTTGGTTCAAGAATTGGTGCAGGTGTGTGGTGGTGTTCCCAACTATATCTAGCTGGTACCGCTCCATCTCCTGCACCACCTCGGTTCCTTCCCCGCCAGAGGTCTGACATGCTATGTACCAAGAACCACTCAGCATTGCAAGGGATCAGCATATCCAGGCCCCTGCTTTCGCCTTCCAAAGCACTAGATCCCCATGACCATCTCTGCAGGTGGTGGGCCTATTTGAAAAAAAAGCCCCAAATTCAGTAATTGGTGGGGGGCTTTGTGTGGTATTGCTAATCTGTGGAAAATCTTAAAATATGAGGATTTCCTGCACTCAAAGTAATGATTGATTTCACTGAGTAACTTTTACTTGACCAACATTCTTCAGATGGTATAGCAAGGGTCATGTCATTGGTAGCATGTAGATGGTAAATATGTGGTTAAATCATCTTTGTAGGTGTTTTTTTGTGACTTGGTCTTGTTTGTTGTTTTCAGAATTACTTCCAGGACTGTCTCTTTGATCTGTGCGAGTTGGATGGAGCCAAGCCCATTCTGTGTGAAGCCATTGAAGCATACGTCAATGAATGCCAGGACCGTGGTGTCAGTGTTAGACCCTGGAGGAATGAAACCTTCTGCCGTGAGTGTTGAGTGAGCGGATGGATTGGAATGTGGGGAGGTCTAGACAGAAGCAACTATAGAGTTTCTTCCAAAGGGTTTAGAGTCTTTCAGATTGGATGAGGTGTAGGCTGCGCTCGCCGAAGTTTAGGGCACATAGCAGAAGGGGAGAGCTCACACACACAAAGCAACGGCGCTAATTGCTAGGTGACCGAAACAATAGTCGGGGAAATAGCTACTTTTTTGATGCAAAGTATTTATGTGTCTGTCCACTAATCAGTAGAAAGCACTGACATTTCTCTCGCTTAGGAGGAGGACAGGTCATGGTTTAAACATCTGTCTCTTCTCTACGTTATTGCTATCACTTAACTCAGTTTCCCATTCTCCCCCCAGCTCTGAAATGCCCCCCCAACAGCCACTATCAGCCCTGTGCAGACCCCTGTCAGAACACCTGTTCTGGGAAACCTCCATCCTGTGGCGGGCCTTGCTCTGAAGGCTGTGTGTGTGATCCAGGCTACATCCTGAGTGCTGGAAAGTGTGTCCAGGAGAGTTCCTGTGGTTGCAAACACACTAACGGACAGTACTACGAGGTAGGTGAAAATTAGAGCTGGGTTTAGGTTTAGGTTGGAATCACGGTGGGGATTGAATATTGTGCATCTGTATGTGTGTGGTGGTGGTTGTTCAAGAGGGGGGGGTGTGAGGTATAGGTTTAGTAAATGTTGACCCTCTGCACATTTCTAAATGTCTTATTAAAATGGTAATTAACAATTCTGATATGTTTGTTTTTGTGTCTGTGTGTGTGTTTAAGCCAGGAGAGGAGTTTTATTTGGAGGACTGCCAGATAAAGTGCAGGTGTAATGCCCCCTTCGTTTCCTGTTCGGCCCATGACTGCCCCCCAATGCAGGAGTGTAAAAACCTGGACGGAGACTTGGGATGCTATCCAATCGGTAAGTTAGCACCATTATGAGGAGACTTTTGAATATATGTAACAAAAAGGGTTCAAACTCCTCCTTAGTAATTGAAATAACTTGTTGTAATTTGTGAAGGTTGTTTACATGCCACATTTTTCTATGTCCATTAATTTCAGTGTTAACCACATATTTAGCTGATTTGCAAGAAAATATATGATGTAACTGGGTTTTGATTGCTTGGAGAAATTTGCTCTTAAATCTATATATTCCATATACAATTCAGATATATGGAGCATTGTGACTCCAGTACTAAATTTGAAAAGACATGAGAAATAACATTCACCCATGGATGCTGGTAAAATTATGAAAGCATGAAAGTTAAAACCTGGTTTCATGATAAAATATTATTTTTCATTTATAGCACCACCAACAACTCCTCGTCCATCAACACCAAAACCAACAACTCCAAGACCTACAACAACCAAACCACCAAGTAAGACATGTCGTTATTGAAGTCTGGTTTTGTATTCCAATTACAAATAATTTATAGTTCTAAGTTTTCCATTAACCGATTCCGTTTTTCCCCTGCTGTACAGATCCATGTCCCCCTAATTCAGAGTATATAGACTGTGGTCCAGCTTGTATTCCCACCTGTATGGAACCCTCCACCAACTGCACTGGCTCCTGTATTAGCGGCTGCTTCTGCAAACCAGGGTTTGTCTTTAAGGGGCGGCACTGTGTGCCATTGGAACAATGTGGCTGCCTGGATGACAACAACAACTATTATGAGGTCAGATGTCCTGGCTAATATTCCCCATATGCAAACATTTCTGCTCAGTACAAGGATGAAATGACGATAAATCATGGTACTGATTCCTTGTTGAATCTTGTTTCAGCCTGGGGAGATTGTTGTCGGTGATGGCTGCTCAAAGCTGTGTCGCTGTGCAGGGAACTACACTTTGGAATGTGTTGATAACTCCTGTGCCGCAGATGAAGAGTGTCGAGAGGTTAATGGTGTTTCAGGCTGCTATCCTAAAGGTAGATGATTCTGCATCTGACAAGTCTCACCTCCAACTTAACCTCTGAATAGCCAATATGGTCCTGGGTGATATGACCATTTGATGTATTTTTTATTCATTGGTTTAATTTGGGCTACCTTAGACTTCAAATCCCTGTTAAGTTTATAACATAAAGTGTCTCATTTGAATTTCCCTTAGGTACATCTTCGTGTATAGCGTCCGGTGATCCCCATTACACCACCTTTGACAAACGAAAGTACAACTTCATGGGTAACTGTAGCTATTTGATGTCTGCACCGTGCAATACAACATCTCTGCAGTACTTTGAGGTCCATGCCGACAATGAAAATCGTCACAACAGACCAACCATCTCCTATGTGAAAGCCGTACATGTGTATGTACGTCATGTGAAGATCTCCATTCTAAAGGTGGTACTGTCCAGGTAAGGCATGAAGGGAGGACCTGACACAATTTTGGCAGGGTTACAAGAATCATATACCACATATCTACAAGAGTGCCCATGTAACTTTACTCTACATTATATCTCATAATGTCATTATGTCTGTTTTCCTAAAACAGGTGAATGGGACCAATGTTAACCTGCCTGTGTCACCGGCCCCTGGTGTCTCTGTGTACAAATCTGGAAAGCACTACACAGTGTCCACAGACTTTGGTTTAACTGTTCGCTATGATGGAAACCACTTCATGGACATTAAAGTTATTAAAGAGTGAGTGAAGGCTGAAGTTAAAATGCTGAAATAGTCACTGATGAATCATGAGAGTACTTGGTTTTAATTAAATGAAGTAAAATATGAATGTCCATGGTTAAGATCTCTCACTTCCACAAATCACTAATTTGTTCTTTTTGTTAATTGTTTGTAGCTATCAGGACATGCTGTGTGGACTGTGTGGAAACTATGATGGAGATACCAAAGATGATTTCCGTAAACCAGATGGAATATTGACCAACAGCGCCAATGAGTTTGGACACAGCTGGAACACTGATCCAGAGTGAGTAGCATGCATTGATTCTACAGATTATTGCTGGAATGAGGAATGTCCGGGTTAACTTGCTTAGCCTAATGCCACTGCCTTCCAGACCCTGATAAGTTAAGGAGATGGATAGTTCACCAAATACTTGTTAAATGATCCAACCATTCTCTTCCACTGAACCAGGGACTTGTTGCCGTGGCAGTATTCCCAACATGGTATTTCAGATGTTCCTCTTTCCAGCAATGTTTACATGCTCCTCCTTGGAAATTTCAAGGCTTTCCTAGTTCAAATATTATACACGATAAATATGCCCTGTTGAGAGCTCTGAGTGTACCACATGGTCTCCTCTTAGCACGTGGAAAACCTCCTGTGCACTAGAGGATCCCAATGAGATGTCACTTAGGCCCATCTTTGCAATTACCAGAGAAAGTAACTTACTGACCTTCACAAACAGAGCTTCACTAAATGACAGTCTGTGCTGGCAGGTGTAACAAGAAGCCTAATACCACCATCCCTGAATGCGATGAAGAAGAACAGGACCTTTACGAGAGCTCTGGATACTGTGGCATTTTGCTGGACCGAAATGGTCCCTTCGCTGTGTGCCACCCCAAAGTCAACCCCAATGTAAGCAATAACTCTCACAAACAAACACAATTACACTGTTATAAGGTATATGAATATAGAAATGTCCCCTGTGATGTTGTTAAATTTCAAGTACATTTCCATCCTGCCCTTGGGCCGTACCCCTTTGATCAGCATACTGTCAGGTTTTCTTCATCTCCATCCATCCATCCATCCATCCTTCTTTCCTTGCTTCCTTGTTCCTTCCTTTCTTCCTTCCTTGCTTCCTTCCTTCCTTCCTTTCTTCTTTGTCTGAACAACCTCAACTGGCTCCTTTCAATGCAAAGGAGCAGCAGCTCTACTTAGAGTTCCCTACAGAAGTCTAAGCTCATCACCTTGTCTCTTAGGCTGAACCAAGTAACTCTTCAGGGGACGTCGCTGAACCTAGATCAATTAGTAAATTGAAAGCTTTGCCTTTATGCTCAGCTCCCTCTTCACCACGAGTGTACAGTGCAGAGTTGCCTAAATTATTGCTGATGCTGGAACAACTTGCCTGCCAATCTCATGATCCATTTAATCCTCACCTGAAAACAAGATCTCGATTTACTTTTACTCTTCCACTTAGGCAAAAGACTTGCTCCCCATTTGGAGTGAAACAATCCACCATTTTCCACAGCTCTCACTTTGATCATACATGGAACAGATGGCAAGGAAAAAGAGTTGGCCCGATCTCCCATGGGCAGGACAGAATCTGCGTTGTCCTAAAGTATCAAAAGTTTAAAAACATCTGAAATCTCCTTTCCAGCACCCTAGAGGTCACTTTTCCTGAGTAGCGTGATACCCTGTTAGTTGAAGCACACCCTCTGGTCCTACTTTTCTGAGAGTCAGATCCCCCACCCCAGACCGTTCCAAAGACACTGTCCAAGACCTCCAGAAAACACTGAAGAGGCATGTCATCCAAGACAGCTCAACAATGTCCAGAGCCTTCAGCATCTCAGGGTTGATCTCATCCATTCCTGGCGCCCTGCCACTGAGGAGCCTTTTGACTACCTCAGCGACCTGTGCCAAGGGTTTTGATAAAGCTTCCACTGGATCTTCATACTTCACCTCCTCATCATAGAACACATTGGTTGGGGTCAGGTATTGAGTAATTGAGTATTCCCATAGATGCCTGCCACCCCTCATCATGGGCAACTCCAGAAAAGTGGAGAGTCCGGTGCCTCCCTAGGAGTTTGGTTCAAGAATTGGTGCAGGTGTGTGGTGGTGTTCCCAACTATATCTAGCTGGTACCGCTCCATCTCCTGCACCACCTCGGTTCCTTCCCCGCCAGAGGTCTGACATGCTATGTACCAAGAACCACTCAGCATTGCAAGGGATCAGCATATCCAGGCCCCTGCTTTCGCCTTCCAAAGCACTAGATCCCCATGACCATCTCTGCAGGTGGTGGGCCTATTTGAAAAAAAAGCCCCAAATTCAGTAATTGGTGGGGGGCTTTGTGTGGTATTGCTAATCTGTGGAAAATCTTAAAATATGAGGATTTCCTGCACTCAAAGTAATGATTGATTTCATTGAGTAACTTTTACTTGACCAACATTCTTCAGATGGTATAGCAAGGGTCATGTCATTGGTAGCATGTAGATGGTAAATATGTGGTTAAATCATCTTTGTAGGTGTTTTTTTGTGACTTGGTCTTGTTTGTTGTTTTCAGAATTACTTCCAGGACTGTCTCTTTGATCTGTGCGAGTTGGATGGAGCCAAGCCCATTCTGTGTGAAGCCATTGAAGCATACGTCAATGAATGCCAGGACCGTGGTGTCAGTGTTAGACCCTGGAGGAATGAAACCTTCTGCCGTGAGTGTTGAGTGAGCGGATGGATTGGAATGTGGGGAGGTCTAGACAGAAGCAACTATAGAGTTTCTTCCAAAGGGTTTAGAGTCTTTCAAATTGGATGCGGTGTAGGCTGCACTCGCCGAAGTTTAGGGCACATAGCAGAAGGGGAGAGCTCACACGCACAAAACAACGGCGCTAATTGCTAGGTGACCGAAACAATAGTCGCGGAAATAGCTACTTTTTGGATGCAAAGTATTTATGTGTCTGTCCACTAATCAGTAGAAAGCACTGACATTTCTCCCGCTTAGGAGGAGGACAGGTCATGGTTTAAGCATCTGCCTCGTCTCTACGTCATTGTTATCACTGAACTCAGTTTCCCATTCTCCCCCCAGCTCTGAAATGCCCCCCCAACAGCCACTATCAGCCCTGTGCAGACCCCTGTCAGAACACCTGTTCTGGGAAACCTCCATCCTGTGGCGGGCCTTGCTCTGAAGGCTGTGTGTGTGATCCAGGCTACATCCTGAGTGCTGGAAAGTGTGTCCAGGAGAGTTCCTGTGGTTGCAAACACACTAATGGACAGTACTACGAGGTAGGTGAAAATTAGAGCTGGGTTTAAGTTTAGATTGGAATCACGGTGGGGATTGAATTTTGTGCGTGTGTGTGTGTGTGTGGTGATGGTTGTGTTGGTGGTGGTGGTGGTGGGGGGGTATAGGTTTAGTAAATGTTGACCCTCTGCACATTTCTAAATGTCTTATTAAAATGGTAATTAACAATTCAGACATGTTTGTTTTTGTGTCTGTGTGTGTGTTTAAGCCAGGAGAGGAGTTTTATTTGGAGGACTGCCAGATAAAGTGCAGGTGTAATGCCCCCTTCGTTTCCTGTTCGGCCCATGACTGCCCCCCAATGCAGGAGTGTAAAAACCTGGACGGAGACTTGGGATGCTATCCAATCGGTAAGTTAACACCAGTATGAGGAGACTTTGAATGTATGCAACAAACAGGGTTCAAACTCCACCTTAGTGAAATAACTTTTTGTAATTTGTGAAGTTTGTTTACATGCCAAATTTTTCTATGTCCATTAATTTCAGTGTTAACCACATATTTTGTTGATTTGCAAGAAAATATATGATGTAACTGGGTTTTGATTGCTTGATGAAATTTTCTCTTAAATCCATATATTCCATATACAATTCAGATATATGAAGCGTTGTGACTCCAGTACTAAATTTGGAAAGATATGTGAAATAATATTCACCCTTGGATGCTGGTAAAATTATGAAAGCATGAAAGTTAAAACCTGGTTTCGTGATAAAATATTATTTTTCATTTATAGCACCACCAACAACTCCTCGTCCATCAACACCAAAACCAACAACTCCAAGACCTACAACAACCAAACCACCAAGTAAGACATGTCGTTATTGAAGTCTGGTTTTGTATTCCAATTACAAATACTTTACAGTTCTAAGCTTTCCATTAACTAATTCCTTTTTCCCCCTGCTGTACAGATCCATGTCCCCCTAATTCAGAGTATATAGACTGTGGTCCAGCTTGTATTCCCACCTGTATGGAACCCTCCACCAACTGCACTGGCTCCTGTATTAGCGGCTGCTTCTGCAAACCAGGGTTTGTCTTTAAGGGGCGGCACTGTGTGCCATTGGAACAATGTGGCTGCCTGGATGACAACAACAACTATTATGAGGTCAGATGTCCTGGCTAATATTCCCCATATGCAAACATTTCTGCTCAGTACAAGGATGAAATGACGATAAATCATGGTACTGATTCCTTGTTGAATCTTGTTTCAGCCTGGTGAGATTGTTGTCGGTGATGGCTGCTCAAAGCTGTGTCGCTGTGCAGGGAACTACACTTTGGAATGTGTTGATAACTCCTGTGCCGCAGATGAAGAGTGTCGAGAGGTTAATGGTGTTTCAGGCTGCTATCCTAAAGGTAGATGATTCTGCATCTGACAAGTCTCACCTCCAACTTAACCTCTGAATAGCCAATATGGTCCTGGGTGATGTGACCATTTGATGTATTTTTTATTCATTGGTTTAATTTGGGCTACCTTAGACTTCAAATCCCTGTTAAGTTTATAACATAAAGTGTCTCATTTGAATTTCCCTTAGGTACATCTTCGTGCATAGCGTCCGGTGATCCCCATTACACCACCTTTGACAAACGAAAGTACAACTTCATGGGTAACTGTAGCTATTTGATGTCTGCACCGTGCAATACAACATCTCTGCAGTACTTTGAGGTCCATGCCGACAATGAAAATCGTTACAACAGTCCAGCCATCTCCTATGTGAAAGCCGTACATGTGTATGTACGTCATGTGAAGATCTCCATTCTCAAAGGTGGTACTGTCCAGGTAAGGCATGAAGGGAGGACCTGACACAATTTTGGCAGGGTTACAAGAATCATATACCACATATCTACAAGAGTGCCCATGTAACTTTACTCTACATTATATCTCATAATGTCATTATGTCTGTTTTCCTAAAACAGGTGAATGGGACCAATGTTAACCTGCCTGTGTCACCGGCCCCTGATGTCTCTGTGTACAAATCTGGAAAGCACTACACAGTGTCCACAGACTTTGGTTTAACTGTTCGCTATGATGGAAACCACTTCATGGACATTAAAGTTATTAAAGAGTGAGTGAAGGCTGAAGTTAAAATGCTGAAATAGTCACTGATGAATCATGAGAGTACTTGGTTTTAATTAAATGAAGTAAAATATGAATGTCCATGGTTAAGATCTCTCACTTCCACAAATCACTAATTTGTTATTTTTTTGTTAATTGTTTGTAGCTATCAGGACATGCTGTGTGGACTGTGTGGAAACTATGATGGAGATACCAAAGATGATTTCCGTAAACCAGATGGAATATTGACCAACAGCGCCAATGAGTTTGGACACAGCTGGAACACTGATCCAGAGTGAGTAGCATGCATTGTTGCTTCTTTAGAAACCCTATCATACACTTTGAAGTCTCTCTCTGAGTCCATAAAACCCTGTTTGGTTGAATATTGAAGGGACAATTTGCTGGAGGGACCTCTGGTTCTAGCCTCTAAACCTTTCCATCAAAAGAAGCCAGTTAATGGCATCTGATTAGGATGCCTCCTGGAGGTTTTCCAGGTACGTCCAACTGGGAAGGGACCCTAGGGTAGACACAGATCTCACTGGAGGGATAATATGTCCCATCTGGCCAGAGGATGCCTTGAAAATGCTTCTAGGATGAGGAATGTCAGGGTCAAATTGCTTAGACTAATGCCACTTCCTTCCAGGCTAATATAAGTGGAGGAAATGGATAAATGGATAGTTCATCCAACCATTATCTTACACTTTTCCAGAGGCTTGTTCGGGGGGCAGCATATTCAACATGGTATCCAGATGTCCCCCTCTCCTCCCTGGGAATTTTAAGGATTGCCTAGTCCATATATAATTATTACTCTAGAGAACTCCAAATATGTCACAAGTCTCCTCCCAGTTTGATGTGCCTGAAGGACCTGCTGTTCCTTGGAGCAACCTAATCAGTTACCATATAGCTTCATCTTTTCAACTGCCCGGGAAAAAACAAACGGATCTCCCACAAACAGAGCTTCTTTAACTGACAGTCTGTGTTGGCAGGTGTAACAAGAAACCCAACACCACCATCCCTGGATGTGATGAAGAAGAACAGGACCTTTACGAGAGCTCTGGATACTGTGGCATGTTGCTGGACAAAAAGGGTCCCTTCGCTGTGTGCCACCCCAAAGTCAACCCCAATGTAAGTCATAATGCACACAATCACATACAACTACACACCAACAATACCCGGCCGTACCCCTCTGTTTAAGCTACTGCCAGGTTTGGTAGGTTGTCTCCTTTCTTTCAGCGTTCTATAGATAGGTGTTATTCAACCCACCAAATGGTCCTTCAAACCAATGTAGACTTGAGAATTTATAGACCATTTTCTAAGTATACTTCATGAGCTGAAGCATTGTGACATGAAATATGGCTAGCAGTTCTGGGAAGATTGTGAATGTCACTACAGTTATCTCCATGTCCAGGGTACATAGGTTGAAAACTAAGATGATTACACGTAGTGTCCAATTGACTAGGTAGAGCTTTTTACCTCTTATTCTTGAGCGTACCACCATTTCTGAAGGTCTACTTCCCAATAAAGGGCATTACAAAGCTAGGGGTAATTGGGATTGGGTTTAAGTGTACCTAAGATACATTGCAATCAATACAAAGTCATATAAGCAACTAACAAAAAAAAAAAAATCTTTAAAAGAGTCAAAATCCACTACTAGCCAAAAAAAAATACATTTTACTTTTCCCTTCTCCAAAAGTTCTTGGAGTTTATCAATGTCTGACAATCCATTCCATGGTAGCGTAGCCTTCAGATTGTAAATATGTGGTGGATACAGAGGTGTCAAGTAACTGTCAAGTACAAATACTTTGTTACCTTACTTAAGTAGAAATTGTGGGTATCTATACTTTACTGGAGTATTTATTTTTCAGCCGACTGTTTACTTCTACTTCTTACATTTTCACACAATTATCTGTACTTTCTATTCCTTACATTTTAAAAATAGCCTCGTTACTCCTATTTCATTTCGGCTTGTTTTCATTCTGGTTTGTCATCGTTCAAAAAAACACAAAAAAAAACCTATCCAAATAAATCCATAGACAGATGAATCGTGCCATCCGGATAGAGTGAATTTGATTGTGGTTGGGTGAGAAGTATAAACATATACTATATTGGTTTGTACGCGATCCATTACACCTGCACATGACACAAATCAAGTCACACTCCAGCAAGGAAATAGCAGACGTATGTAGCCTAGTACGAAGATGACCGTGGCAAAGACATGCAAGGGTAATTGTTACTAAGCCTGCCCTGGGTACACCAATTGTCTTGTCCAGTTTTGTTATCTTACATCCGTTTCCCTCACAGATTCCTGCAGCTAAGCTTGGATGTACATTTACATTCCAGTAAAGGCCATTGATAACATGCCTCTGAAGTTTGACTTTTTGCACCATTACAATACTTATAGGCAACTAGTCATCATATCTTCCGCTCCATTAAAAAACACATGTTAATGCTCAGTAGTACACATATATAGTTCTTTAATGTATTTGCATTGTACTAAAATGCATTCATTTTCAATGGGCATGAATGCGGCTGAAACAGGTGCATCCCAAATGTTTCAACATTAACATTTTAATATAACATTATAGTCATTATGGCCTTTAGAAAAGTGTTTTTTTGGGGAGGTAGGGTAGTGCACTATAGGCCCCTGTGGCGCGGCCTAAGCTTTTGTACTCAATGGCATTTTTTCCCTCTTACATTACTTTTACTTTTATACTTTAAGTAGTTTTGAAACCAGTACTTTTACACTTTTACTTGAGTAAAAAGCTTGAGTTGATACTTCAACTTCTACAGAAGTCTTTTTAAACCCCAGTATCTATACTTCTACCTGAATAATGAATGTAAATATTTTTGACACCTCTGGGTGGATGCATCTTCGAATGTTGTTATTGTGACTAAGTGTTGTTGTTGTCTTCAGAATTACTTCAGAGACTGTATCTTTGATCTGTGTGAGCTGGATGGAGCCAAGCCCATTCTGTGTGAAGCCATTGAAGCATACGTCAACGAATGTCAAGACCGTGGGATTAACGTTGGACCCTGGAGGAATGAAACCTTCTGTCGTGAGTGTTGAATGAGCGGATGGATGGACAAATGATAGCTGGTTAGAGCAATGTGGGAGGTCTAGAGGGTTAAGGTTAGAGTATATTTTTCTACAGCAAGAGGGAATGCAAAAGTTTCTTAAATTCTTATTTCTTATGTCCAGCAGGGGGTGAAAAGCAGCCTGTTTGAATAGAAGTTTATGATTAAAATGTTCCCATTTTTCAGTTGATTTATTCCCTCAGTAAATACTCTCAATGAGTTCATGGTCTCAATCTTGGTTTCAAGTCTTCTTAAACACAGAATGATGTTTAGTTAGTAAATTATGGTCCAATTTAGAATCAAGAGACCAGGAGGCAGGGGGAGGGTTTACGGCGGGGCTACCTGTGATTTACAAGGCACTTGTTGTGAGACACTCTGACAAATTCGTTTTTCGTTTTTCTAAACACATTTTTTCAAAGAACTGTTTAGCTAGCCAAATTAAACTAATATTTATGGTGGTGACTAGTGAGGATGCCAACTTTAACCGTTTGGCTAGCTTATTTGCCACAACCCTGTTTTTGCTTACAAAAATAAGCATTCGAATTAATATCAAAGATACTGGCAAAGATACTTTACTCTTATCTCTTACCTTAGTTTCCCATTCTCCCCCCAGCTCTGAAATGCGCCCCCAACAGCCACTATGAGTCCTGTGCAGACTCCTGTCAGAACACCTGTTCTGGGAAACCTCCATCCTGTGGCGGGCCTTGCTCTGAAGGCTGTGTGTGTGATCCAGGCTACATCCTGAGTGCTGGAAAGTGTGTCCAGGAGAGTTCCTGTGGTTGCAAACACACTAACGGACAGTACTACGAGGTAGGTGAAAATTAGAGCTGGGTTTAAGTGAAATTAATGGGGGGGGATTGGACATTATGTTGTGACGGTGAGTAACTGTCTTTTCAACTAAATGAAAATTCTCCTTCAACATGTGCATGTGTGTGTGTGTGTGTGTGTGTGTGTGTTTTAGCCAGGAGAGGAGTTTTATTTGGAGAACTGCCAGCTGAAGTGCAGGTGTAATTCCCCTTTGTTACCTGTTCTGCCTCTGAATGCCCCCCAATGCACGAGTGTAAAAACCAGGACGGAGACCTGGGATGTTATCCAACCAGTAAGTCTACACCCACTGTGTGAGGAAACTTCTGTGTTATTGTGAAGTTTATATGTTTGAGAGCAAAACTGTCCACTGTGCATGACTTTTCTTGTAACTGCAAATGAAATTATTTGAGATTTTAAAACACATCAAAGAACAATGTCAAACATGTTGGCTACAAATTCAACCATTTTGCATTTGAAGGGTGGACTATTAATATTCAAATTCACCGTGGTTGTTGCCAAGGTGACCCTCTAAGGGAGATCAACCAATAGAAAGCAGCCATTGGCCTTTCTGCAGAGGTTTCACCCTCGACATTCAGCTCAACTGGGATGAAAAACTTTTGGACTTAATGCAAACCAAAATTATTTGCATGAATGCATCATTTATTGAAGGTTAAATTACTATTTAGTGATGGCAGTTTACAAGTTTGCTCTCAAATGACTGTTTTTACTTTGAAGACAGAAGTAACCCAACACAGCTGCTGCTCTCTGAGTGCTTTGATTACTGAGCTGGATGAGAACAACACATCTCACAGCAGGCGTTCCAGGTCTGTAGAAAAAAACATGTCGGTTATAAGTTCACAGTTTAAACATCTTTGCGAGGGCAGACTGCTTAAAAAAATCTTCTTTCCGGACACATTTTGGTGTTTTGCATTTTTCTAGAATCTTTCCCGTAGAGCTGCGTTTCTAGAAAGTGTATCTGAGGTCGTGTTATCCTGAGGTATCTGTCCGATGTTCTCTGATGTGACTTTTTGTCTGGTGTTCTGAGTCGATCATGCAGCTTCTTGTCCCTCTCTTTCAGGCTCTCAGGACTGCGTGGTGTCTGGAGATCCTCACTACAATACGTTTGACAAAAAGTTCTACACCTTCATGGGGACATGCACCTACACGCTGGCCAGAAGCTGCCGGAACAGCTCGGGTAGGGACGCCGCCTGAACTCTGAACACATTTTTAAACATTCTAAAACTTGTGCTCAAGAGGAAAAAAAAAAGTTTTTGTTTAAATCCTGAAAGTGACGGTCTTAAAACATTTAAAAACCTTTAACCTGCCTGAACTCTTGAACACACACACACTCATCATCTGAACATCACATATGGACTCAAAGGGATCCTGTTAATGTTCCTAAAACCAGAAGAGGGCGCCACGACCACGTAATCAACTCAAACAGAATCCGTCTTCTTTGAAATCATATTTCTGATTGAGACACATTTTCTAAAAATGCACATTTGACATGAGTCATAAAGTCTCCACATGATGAAACCTGGAAGAGACAAAGCAGACCACAACCTGTTTTCAGAACGTGTGAGCTGTGAAGACGGCAGGTAGGAAGAGACCCGAGACCTTCAGACGTGATGTGAACTCAAGACAGTCATTAAACATATCGTCTTAAAGTTCAGCTCCAGATTTCATTCAAAGATATTCTCCATCTTTTAGAGTGAGAATATATTTAGGGTACAGGACATGTTTAACCTCCTAGCTCGTGTGTGTCGCTGTGCAGGTCCCTGGTTCTCTGTGGAGGCGAAGAACGAGGAGCGAGGAATGTCAGGTGTGTCGTACCTGAAGAAACTCTACGTGACGGTGGGCGGAGTCACAGTGACCCTGATGAAGAGCCGGAGGACTCTGGTCAGTGTGGACTAGGGATGAGCTTCTACAGTCATCTAAATACTCAAGTATCCGCATTACCTCATGAACGAGTACTCGAGTACTCACTAATTATTGATACTTTTTTAAGGTAAAAAAAGGTCGGACACAGACCCCTCGTGGTCGGTTCTGTTTCCCGCAGGTCTGTGTGTCTGTAGGACGGCGTCGTTCTGAATGAGTGATGGTGAAATGTGACCCCGTGGTGAGAGTTGTTCTGCACAGTCCTACTGCTCACCCCTCAAACATCTCGTTCTCTCTCGCAGCTGTTGTTCTCTGGCTCGTCAAACGCCATCAGCTCTCTGAAGCCTTCTCCTCCCTCATAAAAATGATGTAATGCAGACTTCCTGTTCTCTGCTTTAAGCTCATGTGGTCAAACATCAAACTTTTATCATATGCAAGTTAAACGCTGTTTATCTGTCACGGCACGTCGTCGTCGTCGTCTTTCTGTCAAAGTTCTTCAAAGCATTTCGCTCTCTGCTCTCAGTGGACACGCTGCAGGTGAAACCGACTAAATGTCCCTAGAGAGTTACCGTAGCTGCCGTAAAGCAGTTCATGTTGCTGTAATCTGGCTCGTTAAATAAGTCTGAAGCTGTAGCTGCAGAAGGTTCACCTCTCTGTGTTATTTTATTATCAGAGACAAACCAGGACGCTTGTTACACGTGTTTAACTATCAAATATCACAGGTGAGGGGGTCGTGTACCAATACGGAAGCTAGTACTGGAGTTATCGTCCCTCACGTTGGCTTCATTTCTTTAGACTAGAAAATGGGCCGTCACAGGAGGCTGATGTGAGCCCCCCTCCCCTCTCAGTCTGAGGGTCCAGTGAAATTAAACCGCCCCTCGTTCTCTCCACCTTTTCATTCCATCTTATCCTCGCTCCTTTGATCTTTTTTAATACCATAATCCCAGAAATCTGCCGGCGCCCTCTCTCGTCTCTTTTTAAATCCCCCGTGTGCCGATTGTTTGTCCACGTTTACAGACCTCGGCATCCCCCATGTCTAACATCGTCTCGTCTTCCCGCTCTGCAGGTGAATGGACTGCGGGTGGCGCTCCCTCACTCCCCCTCCCCCCTCATGTCCTTGAGTCTGGCCGGGCAGTACGTCACCCTGCAGACCACCTTCGGCCTGACGGTGCGATGGGACGGGAACCACTACGCTCAGATCTCAGTGCCCAGGTTTGTAAAGACTACGGTGGCCCTGAAAGGTCAACACGCTGCATCACTGGAAAGCAAATCAACAGTTTAATCTCCAGAACACGTGCACGACATTCAGAGAGAAAAGTTCAGAGTGAGAAGAAAACAGAGAGAGTCTCTGCAGGATGTGATAATCTGGATCAGATCTGAATCCTGCACTTTAATCTCTGAATCAACAAAAGAGGAATTTTTCATGGAAGCAGATTAAGAAATGATCGGAGCCGCTGAAGATCAGAGGCCACGCTGATTATAAATCCTTGCAGCTTTCATATCTTCTATTGATACACACACACACACAGAAACACACACACACATACACACATGCTCACACACACACACACACACACCACTTCTGCTTTCTGTCTCCGTGTTTGTCAACTTTAAGACTCCTTAAGACGCTCCTCTTTCTCTTCCTCTCTTAATCCCTCCTCGTATTCCTCCCTGCAGCTCCTACTACGACCAGATGTGCGGCCTCTGCGGCGACTACGACGGGAACCCCAACAACGACTTCACCAAACCAGATGGCGTCCAGGTCGGGAACGTGAACGACTTCGGGAACAGCTGGCAGACTGCGGAGGATGAGGACGACTCGTGAGTTCACGTGCTTCGTCTCTCTAATCGGAGACATTTCTGGAATTTCCTCGAGCTTTCTTAGAATGTGAAGCGTGTGAGCCGCATGTGACGCTCTAATCTGCACACGAGCTTGGAGAGAAAGGATGTGACAGTCAGACACAGAATATTACTGGGTCTCTGCTCAGAAACAAACATGTTTGTGTTGTTGTGTTGATCAGGTGTACCCCAGGCACCGGCCCTGACCCCGACTGTGACCCCAGCCTGGAGGCCGAGTTCTCCAAACCAGAAAAATGTGGAAAAATCAAAGACGTTGACGGCCCGTTCAGGTGAGGACCTGATCAGAAGAGACCTCATTATAATAAAACTGTCCACTGATTCAGACAGAATGTGAATGATCACATCCAAATGCACAAACAAAGCTGACCATACACGACCTCCTAAGCCCGTGATGGCAGCCTCGTGGCGCCTGCGTCTGTTTGGTGCACGTCCTCAAAAAGGAAGTCTACGCTGACATAAGATGCAGTATGAGCATGAACAGTAGGGGGCAGTGTTGAGGCAGATTGGATGTGATAGAGTCAACACAGCAAACATCAGCCATTAAAAAAATGAAGCCAAAATACTGCAGTTCATCGAGTGTCCACTAGAGGCTGTCTGTAAAATTACACACCCCATATGAACATGTTTACAGCCTGAAACAAAAACAGTTTTGTTATATTAGGGGCGGGGCAGATCTCACTGAAAGCAGGCGTGTTGTAGCTGTTTGTCAGGACGCTTAAGCCCCGCCTCCGCTCCAGCTCTTTGCCCGTGTCTAGGTTTGACTGAAAGTTAGTTTGAGACGGTACTTCCAATATGGAGACCACCACTGCAGAAACTAACGGGTGACATTGGAACTAAACATCACAGTTCCGTCCTCGAGGGTCTCTGTGTCTCTAGTTTACATCAGGTAGTTATAGTTATACAGGTAACCTCCAGTAGCACGTGTCAGGTATAGTTAAGTAAAGGTACGCTCATGACTCAGACCGTTGTGTAGACAGCAAGTAGATCTCCGGCCTCAGACTGACAGGAGGCTGCAGCAACAGAAGAGCGTCCTCCACGTTGTGGAGTGCGTTTATGAACTGATTTAAACTTTTTATTGACCTTTTCATGTTGAATGCGCTCCTCCCTGTCATCAGCAGAGTCAGCTCTTCTTAATCTGTCCGCGTGGGCGTGAGTGTGTCCCACACCCTGTGCACAAAGGCCAGTCAGAGGGTGTGACTGCTCAGAGATACCAGCATGACTCTCCAGCTAACTTTACAGCTGCAGTTTTTTAAAGGGTCGTCCTGCAGTGACTAAAGAACACACGTGGCCACCAATCATCCCAACACACAGATTGTGTTATCTTCATAAAGATAATCAACTCTATCTGATTCAGATTACAGTTATCGCCTGTCGGACTCTGAACCACACACACACACTCTTAAACACACACACCTGACATATCGACTGTACAGAAAGGATCTTTCTCTGCAGACATAAATAATACGTCCGTGTTTTAACAGCTGTACCCGTTAGAGATCCAACGGCCCATATACAGGCCCCGTAACGTGTTCCTTACATTCACGATCATGAACAGAACAGCTGTGTGTGTTTAACTTGTGCCGTATACTGTCTGAAAGCTTTGTGATCAGATATATAAAGATGGAGTCAGTAGAAATGTAAACGCAATATTCAAACTGGGCCCCTCCTCCTGGGCTTATCGCCCCCCCAGAAGCCACGCCCCACTCCCTGCAGGACGTAGTGTGTACGTTTACTGCTTGTACCTACACTGTAAGCTAATGCACGCTAGCACAATCTAACCACCCAGAAACGTCTCCTGAGTCAACTAGAACAAAGCAAAACAGTAAAATCCAGTCAGAGGACAGAGTCTCTGCAGACACATTAACCACCTCACATGTACGGAGGCCCAGAAGGGACGATGGAGCAGCTTCACTTTAGGAGAAGTCTGTATTTTATTTTGAAGGAGAAAACTGCTGACTCTATCTTTAAGCTCTGTATTTTATCTTGAAGGAAAAAGCTGCTGGCTCTATGTTTATATATTTTTATGTATTCAGTTTCTTTCTGAGCCTCTGCCGTGATGGCTCGTCCTCCTGAGTTTTGATTTTATCCGTTTCAGAGAGTGCATCAGCGTGGTGGATCCCACTCCGTTCTTCCAGAGCTGCGTGTACGACATGTGTCGCTACGACGGGCTGCAGAGCATCCTGTGTGACTCTCTGCAGGCATACACCGACACCTGTCAGAGCGCCGGAGCCAAAGTCCATCAGTGGAGGACGCCAACCTTCTGCCGTGAGTCTTCCAAACATGTCCACTTTAATTGAAAATGATCCACATCAGTCAACAGTCATTCTTCTTTATTCACCAAAAGTCAACATTTCAATCATTTTTTAAATCTAAGAAATACTTAAAATGTTCAATAAAAAAGATTTCATTCCATGAGCTGCGATTAAATATTTATTTAATGTATTTTTTGCATTTTTATCTTTTAAAAATTCTTGGAGAACATTCTTATTTTGTTCTATTTTTGCATTTTTTTTGTCTTAATTTTGCAAAATATCTAAAACAAAAATTTCACGTCTGAAATAAAGAAATATAAATGACATGAGAAACGATCACCATGGCAACCAAAAAAATGTTTAATTGCAATTAAAATTAATAATGCAATAACATATAATGTCGCTTTGTTTTTATAAAACTATAAATCAGAAACTTTGAATATCAAACTTTATTTAGAAAAGTAAACGTTTGTGAATCAGAAACTTCACATTTGAAATTAAAAAAGTAATTTGTTTGTAGATAAATAATCTGCATGTTTTTCACACAGCTCTTGTTAGAAAGTCATAAACTCTTTCAAACGATCTGTTATAGTGAAACTTAAAGACATTGAGATATTAACCTCGGCCTGCCAACGAGAGGCAAGAGACAACAAGGCGGTGATGCTTACTTGGTCGTAGCTCAGTCTTAGATCTTGACCTCGGCGAAGGCGTCTCTCCATGGGGGTTCGAAGAACTCAGTCTTCAGTCTTGAGCCAGCTCGTTCAGATGTTTGGAAGAAGAGAGGGAGGAGAGGGAGGTGGTACAGCTAAACGAGCTAACCCACAGTGGGGCCGCCGTGATCAGCTGTTAAACTGAACATTCAGGAGGAGGAACAAAGTTCACAGTTCCTCGTGTGTGACTCCTCTCGCGTCCTCACCAGGTGCGTCCAATAGACCAATTAGCTGCTCCTCACAAACTGGGAGTTGTAGTTTTCTCCCAGTCACATCACACAGCATACAAACAGAGAGGCAGCACTTCCTGTTCACCACCAGCTCTCATAAAGAAGACAGAAAGAAATCAGGAACACAAAGATCTGTCGTTACATATCATAAAATGTTTCTGAAAATCTAAACGGTTTCTTTTGCATTTTCAAGTTCTATCTGTTGATGATGTCCTCCCGTTCTGTCCCCCTCCTCCCCCATCCTCTGTCCTTCTCCTCTGTCCCCCTCCTCTGTCCCCCCCCCCATCCTTCCCCACAGCACTGACCTGTCCTCCGAACAGCTCGTACTCTGTGTGTGTGAGTTCGTGTCCCGAGACGTGTCTTGGCGTGGTCGGCTCCCCCGGCTGTGAGGACGTGTGTGTGGAGGGCTGCGAGTGTGACCCCGGCTTCATCCTCAGCAACGACAAGTGTGTGTCTGTGAAGGACTGCGGCTGTGTGGGCGACGGCGGATCCTATCACCCCGTGAGTGTGACCCCCCGGCACTCTGATTACTAACACTAATGTGGCGTCAGAGTCAACGCCCTGAGACACTCCGAGGTCATAGAGAGCAGCAGAAGAAGAGTTTTTGTTGCTACAATCACTGACATCAACGTCTGCACCAAACTCCATTCAAATAAATCAGCTTCATGACGTCCCCACAAAACTCAGACATGTGTCATGTATCTGCTTGTGTGTATAACAAACGTGTGTGTGTGTGTGTGCGTGTGTGTGTGTGTGTGTGTGTGTGTGTGTGTGTGTGTGTCAGGTGGGCGATGACTGGTACCTGGAGGGTTGTAATCAGAAGTGCGAGTGTCACAGCGGAGGTTTGATTCAGTGTCACAACAGCAGCTGTGCACCGGTCAATGAGAGCTGCGGGCTGCAAGATGGAGACTATGAATGTCGTCCTGTGGGTACGTTAAACACACACACACACACACACACACACACACACACACACATACACACACACACACATACACACAGAGTTCAGCTAACTTCTTCCCTCTCTGGTTCAGGATCTGGTATCTGCACCGTATCCGGTGACCCTCACTACACCTCCTTCGACAAGCGAACCCACCACTACATGGGCGCCTGCTCCTACACCCTCACCAAGCCCTGCAACGCGTCCTCCGACTTGCCGTACTTCACCGTGGACACCCAGAACGAGCACAGAGGAAGCAACAAGAAGGTTTCGTACGTCAGAGCGGTGATGATCAATGTGAACGGCGTGCACGTCGTCCTCGGGAAGGGACGCAGGGTGCAGGTAGGACACCTGACGGAGATGTGTGATGATACTCAGCGGAATCTGTGTTCCTCTAAAGAGTGAACGAGGCGCTTTTATGCATCATTTAGTGCTCAGTTAGAGGACACTGACTCTCTCTCTCTCTCTCTCTCTCTCCCTCTCTCTCTTTCAGGTGAACGGCACCATGGTCGTCCCTCCCGTCACCTCCATCGATGGAGTTAAGATCTACCTGAGCGGAAAGTTTGTCGTCCTGGAAACGTCGTTCGGTCTGAGGGTTCGTTTCGATGGAAACCACCACGCCGACGTCACCGTACCGAACTCGTACTCCGGCCTGCTGTGCGGCATGTGTGGTGAGAGACAGAAACATTTAACATCGACCTTTTTAAAGATAGTCCCCCGACCCAAAAGCTTAAAACCCGTTTCTCTGCAGGAAATTTCAACGAGAACCCGAAAGACGACAACCTGAAGCCAGACAACACACCTGCTGCAAACACCAACGAGCTGGGAGACAGCTGGCAGATCCCGGACCCCCGCCCTGAGTGAGTCAACAATCATCAAAGATGGACGCCTTTATTCTCATGACATGCTCATGTTCAATCCTCATAAATACAGCTGAATCAGCAAACTGTCATCAGGGAGTCTCAGTCATTGACTTTTTTTTATTTTCAGCTGCACAAACGGAGGAGGACAGGAGGACTGTGACGACGACGTGGAGGAAGACGCCATGAAGCCCACCAGCTGTGGCATGATCACCGATCCCAACGGTCAGTCATCATCAGAAACAGAAGCAGGACGCTGTGCTTTACTTAACTTAACTGGTCTGGTAGCTGGAGAGGTGCCAGTTCACTTACTGGGCACTGCCGAGGTGCTCTTGAGCAAGTCTCCCAACTCCCCCCCCCACCCCACTCTGACATCTCTCCATCAGTGCGTGTTCACAGGATCCTGTGTGTGTGTGTGTGTGTGTGTGTGTGTGTGTGTTTCCCCTCGAGGGTTAACTAAGTCATGTGTGTTTGTGATGTTTTGCCCTCAGGTATCTTTAAGCCATGTCACTCGGTGGTCTCCCCCGACTCCTTCTTTGAAAACTGCGTGTACGACATGTGTGCGACGGAGGGGCAGACCGTGGCGTTGTGTCAGGCCATCGAGAGCTACGCCGACATGTGCGCTGCTGCAGGAGTCCCCATCAACTGGAGGAACAACACCTTCTGTCGTAAGTCTGACCAAGATCCAGAGCCCGGCTTTGAGACTCTTTAAGACTCTTTAAAAAGGCTTTACTTTTTGCAACAAGATAAAAAAACAGGATGTTGTCTGTTCTTTTCCAAACCCACCCCCCCCCCCTCCACCTCCTCCTCCAGCCCTGAAGTGCCCTCCTGGCAGTAGTTACACCCCCTGCGGCCCCGCCTGTTCCCAGCCCAGCTGTCAGAATCTGGCGGGCTCCGGAGGGTCCTGTAACCAGCCGTGTGTGGAGGGGTGTGTGTGCAACCCGGGTCTGGTCCTCAGCGGGGACAAGTGTGTCCCTCCCAGCGAGTGTGGCTGCACAGACGAGGGCGGGAAATACCGACCGGTCAGTGAGCAGGAGACCTTAATCCACAGAGAGAAAAACTAAGAGTCTGAACACGACGTTAACTTCTGTGTGTTTTTGCGTGCGTGCGTGCGTGTGTGTGTGGACTTGTTAAGGTTGGAGACTCGTGGTTCTCGGAGCTCGACTGCTCGGAGCGCTGTAAGTGTAACAGCTTCAACAACGTGACCTGTCAGCCGTGGGTGTGCAGCCCCGCCCAGGAGTGTAAGGTGGTGGAGGGCGTTCTGGACTGTCACTCTACAGGTACAGTCCCCTGAGGACCCGCTGCAGCACACTGAACCTTTAAGTCCCGTGTTTGAGCTTCACTCCCTCTGATATGCATCCTCAGGTAAAGGTGTGTGCATGGTGGCCGGAGATCCTCACTACTACACCTTTGACGGAGTGATGCACACCTTCATGGGCACCTGCACCTACACGCTGGTGGAGGTAAAGAAAACACACCTGTCGAGTTTAATAGTGTTCCAGTGAACGTAGTTTATGCACGTTTTGAATAATTAAAGTCTCTATATGTTGAGTGTATATTCTACACATTATTTCTGTAAATAAGAGGAAACATGGAGAGTTTGTTTCTTGGTCCTCCAGGTGTGCAACACCACCCAGGTAACTGACTTCACCATCGTGGCCAAAAACGAGGAGCGTGGTCAGCCCCAGGCGTCGTACATCCGCTCTGCTAAGATCTACCTGCCGGGTGAGCAGGTGGTGGAGCTGCAGAAGAGCCGCAGAGTTCTGGTGAACGGACGGCGAGTCAGAACGCCGGTCACCATCGAGAAGGCCGGAGCCAAAGTGATCACGAGCGGCGTCTACAGTCTGCTCGACACTGACTTCGGTCTGCAGGTGAAGTTTGATGGAGTCCATCAGCTGGAGATCACGGTGCCCGGAGAATACTTCAACAAGGTAACGAGGAGAAAACAACACGTTTTGTTTGTTTCTGTTTGACGGGAAGACGGCCGTCAGTGACCTTAACCCTTTCACCGCTAACGCTCTCTGCAGCTCTGCGGCATGTGTGGAAACTACAACCACAACTCCACCGACGACGACCGGATGCCCAACAAGAAACCAGCCAAGGACGCCATCCAACTGGGAAACAGCTGGAAGGCGGAGGGAGACAGCGACCACGGGTCAGTCCTCGTGTTTCAGTTTCATGACTTTAGATCTGACTCACAGAGCGAGGAGTGGCGTGCTGCTTATCGTTAACTCAACAGGATTTTTTATTTTTATTTAAAAAAATACAGCCTTGATTTATTCTTTAATTACTGCTGAGCTTTATTCTCGTTGAGTTGATTTTGATAAACAAGAAGCAAAATTTAGATCGAAGTCGAAGATAGTATAACATATGACGTCATCTGTGATTAAAATCCTTAAACACAGAAGAACAACATATTAATGAACCATCCAATCATCTTACCTCTCCAGCTGTACGCCCGACACCCGCCCTGACATCCACCCTAACTGCACCACAGAAGAAGAGACTCAGTTTGAGGCTCAGTGCAGCTCCGTCATCCTCTCAGACACCTTCAAGCCCTGTCACTCTCTGGTGCCCCCGGAGGCCTTCCTGGGTAACTGCATCTACGACATGTGCGAGTACGACGGCATGGAGGCGACGCTTTGTGACAACGTGGAGTCGTACGCTCAGGCGTGTCAGAGCGCCGGCGTGACGGTCAGCTGGAGGAACAACACCTTCTGTCGTGAGTAGAAATAACGGTTTGAATACAGAATGATTCTGATGTTATTCTCCTCTCACATCTGTTTTTATGCTCCGCCCCATCGCAGCTCTGCCCTGCCCCCCCAACAGCCACTACTCAGACTGCACGGCCCCCTGCCCCCCCACCTGCTCCGACCTGTTCCCCATCTTCTGCCACCTCCCACCGACCACCTGTGTGGAGGGCTGTCAGTGCGACGCTGGGCACGTGCTCAGCGACAACAATTGCGTCCCGCTGGACCGCTGTGGCTGTCTGGACCAGGACGAAGAGTACCACGACGTGAGTAACGAAATCATAAAGTGTTGTCAGGGAGGTCGATTACTTCTTCTAGCTCAGAGTTTCATTACCGCCACCTACTGGCCTGGAGTGGCAGAGGGGCATCGGCCTGGGTCAGGCAGGGAAATACAAATCTCATCTCATTTAGTCCTCTTTGGTGTCAGAGAGGTGTTAAAAAAAAATCTGATTATTCTCTAACCAAGTGTCTGTGTGTGTGTGTGTGTGTGTGTGTGTGTGTGTGTGTGTGTCTGTTTGCAGGTGGGAGACTCATGGCTGACAGATAAATGTACAGACAGTTGTACCTGTGAGAAGGGCGGTAAAATCACCTGTAAAGACCACAGCTGCAACCCCAACTCCCTGTGTGCGCTGGACAACCTAGGAGACCTTTACTGCAAACCCACTAGTGAGTCAAACACATGCTCAGGTTCCCTTTAGACGCTTTGAACCTTTAAAGGAAGAATGTGTGACTTTTTGATCCAGTGGATGTCGCCTTGAGCTCCAGCATGAAACAAAAACAACTGCTGTTTGGCCACGCCTCCTCCAAAATTGTCCTTTGCTCGAGCTGCAATCTCCTGTGTCCTGCGTTGTTGTGTTAGCATGCTAATGTTAGCTCTCTTTAGTTAGCTCGTAGCTTCACATTGCACATAAACTGACACAGAATGAGCGTGATCTAAAACTCTTACTAACATCCAAATAATCAGTGAGTATGTTCTTCTTGACTAAAACAGCTTTTATACACAAGGGGAGGAGCTTCCCGTCCATGTAAACACAGCTCTGACAACAACACAGCCAGCGGGACTCGAGCTTCTCACTCATTGTAGACAGTCATGACTCAGAGACACATTTACACAGGAGAGACTGGATGTCTGGAACATGTTGCACATCCTGACTCTAACGTTTCATGTTAATCGCTCTGATCCTGTGTGTTGCAGAGTTCAACAGGTGCTCCGTCTCCGGGGATCCTCACTACAGAACCTTCGACGGCTTCACTCATCACTACCAGGGTCCCTACACCTACATCCTGACTCAGGGTCACAACGTGGAGAACGTCAACCTGCAGCCCCTGCAGGTGAGGGGGAAGAACATCCGGCGCGGCGGGAACAGGAGGGTGTCCTTCCTCGACCAGATGTACATTACCGTGTATGGCGTGGAAGTTCGATTCCTGCAGAAGAAGACGGTCCTGGTCAGTTGTTCGGTCTTCGTCCTATGAAAACACAGCGTTTGTTTTCTGCTGTTTCTCGTTGTTCAAACGATGGACTCTTGTTTGCAGGTGAACGGCGAGCGTGTAGCCCCGCCCCTCAGCCCCGTGGACGGTTTGACCATCACCATGAACTCCAGGCAGGTTCAGCTCAGCACCGACTTTGGACTCACGGTGCGCTTTGACGGAAACAGTCGAGGAGGTGAGAAGAAGAGATCCTCGGCCTCGCCGTCTGAAAGTCTCAAATTGATGTGAAAACTTTAGGATTTAGATTTTTAACGCTAAAAGAATAAAACTCACATTTCTTAAATTTGCATCTCAGAGATCATCCTGCCGAGCACCTACACCAACCAGGTGAGAGGTCTGTGTGGAAACTACGACGGGCTGACCAGGAACGAGTACATGAAGCCAGACGGCGTCGTGGTCAGAAACCTGAACACGTTCGGAGACAGCTGGAGGACCACCGACAGACAGACGGGCGCCGTGAGGAGCTACGACCGTCCCCACCCTCACACCATCCACAGGTAAGACGCCAACCACAGAAACACAAAGACTGTTCTTATCTGATCATTTAGTGGCTGTTTCCTAAAGGCATCTCTGCTTCCTCCGTGTGTGTGTGTGTGTGTGTGTGTGTGTGTGTGTGTGTGTGTGTGTGTGTGTGTGTGTGTGTGTGTGTGTGTGTGTGTGTGTGTTCAGACGTGAGACGGAGACAGATCCAGATAACGGCTTTGAGACGTCAGGCTGCTCTCAGTCTCAGCTCGAGGAGCTCAACAGTGCGTCTCAGTGTGGCGCTCTGTCCGACCCCACCGGGGTGTTCTCACTCTGCCACGAGGGGCTGCCGCCAAAACCCTACCAGGAGTGAGTTACCCCTCTGTGTGTGTGTGTGTTAGCGTGCTGTTTTAATGTGTGAGTGTTAGATCACTGACTGTGTGTGTGTGTGTGTGTGTGTGTGTGTGTGTGTTTTCAGTGACTGTGTGTTCGACCTGTGTGCGGAGCAGGGCAGTGCAGAGCTGCGCTGTGCCAGCTATGAAGCGTACGCTGCAGCCTGTCAGGAGACCGGAGTGAAATTGGGAGCCTGGAGGAGACAACTGGGCTGTGGTGAGACACACACACACACACACACACACACACACACACACACACACACACACACACACACACACCTCCTCCTTACATGGCGGTGAGGAGTAAACATACAAACATGTCTAACACACAAACGTTTGTGTGTACGGACGATGAGGTGATTTTGGTACTCAGAGTGACCCTGAAAACAGAGAGAACATTTAGAGGAAACGTCGACTGGGCGACAGTCGACATTTTCACAAACAGAACTCAGGAGTCGGCCATTATTGTTGTAGTCCACATACTCGCTCATGGCTATTGCCTAGAAGGTCTCCATTTTCAGAGGAGCTGGATATTGTCAGATTACACGACGACAGAACGCCGTTATTATGTAAAAAAAAACCTCAGCTAGAACACAACACAAGGTATATTTTTTTGTCTGAAATCGTTGCCATGGAAACACGGCCTCACAGACACTTTCACTTCTACAGCCATTTGTGTGATTTTTGAAACTACAACAAAGTCATTTAATAAACTACAAACTGTGAACAGGTGTCTGACTCTATCTCTCTTTCAGTCCTCTCCTGCGGTGCAAACAGTTCTTACTCCACCTGCATGTCCCCTTGCCCCGCCTCCTGCGCCAACCTGGCGGCTCCCTCCGAGTGTGACGTCACTTCCTGTTCCGAAGGCTGCAAGTGCGACGCAGGCTTCGTGATGAGCGAGGGCGTGTGTGTGCCGTACACGCAATGCGGCTGCACCTTCATCGACAGATATTATCCTGTAAGAGTCCACATCGCTCAGAACACCTGAGAGCGTGGTGCTCATGTGACCTCCGCTCACCCTCTCTCTCTCTCTCTCTCTCTCTCTCTCTCTCTCATCCCGTCCTGCAGCTGAGTGAGAAGTTTGTGACGGAGGATTGTTCTCAGGCCTGTGAATGCACCACCACCGGCGCCGTGTGTCAATCGAAGGGCTGCCAGAAAGGATACGTGTGCACCATCTACGAGTTCAAACGAGACTGCTACAGAGGTAACAACATTAAAGCAACAGATTGAAGGACACCCGATCTGCTGTGACAAAATATGACGATGGTGTGGTTGTGTGCCGCAGAGAGTCCCTGCCTCAGTTACCCGTGTCAGAACGGAGGAACGTGCGAGATGAGCACCAACAACACCTACACCTGTCAGTGTGTGGACGGCTTCTCAGGCTCCAACTGCGAGGTGGAGATCACGCCGCCCCCCGAAGGAGGACTCGGTAAGACTCGCTCAAACTTCTCTCTCCGGCTGCAGGAATTGTGTTGGAATGTATCGAGGTTATGTTCCTTCCATGAAGAGTCTGAGTTTGTGTTCTGTTTCAGAGACAAAGTGGATCATCCTGATTGCCGTGCTCGTCTCCCTCACCGTCATCATCATCGTCGTGATCACCGTCGTGTGTGTCTGCAGGAACAAATCGAGGTCAGTGTGATTCTGTGCAGCGTCCTAAAGTTCCTGTGTTCGGATCTTAATACATGTGTTTGCTTTATGACTGCTGAATGATTTGAGAAAATTCCTGATTCACATCCCGCAAACAGGCCGCCGTGTTCAGAGCAGAGACGAAGCAAACGACCAGAGCCCGACCGATTAATCGACCAGCCGATATTATCATTGGATATTAGCATATCCAGTGACTATTAGTATTGGCTAATTATATGGCAGATATGCGCCGATATTACTCGATTTATTCTCCAGACAAAAAGCATTTCATCTGAGCTTCATTGTGTTACACTAGCAGTTCTCTTTCACCTGCAGAGGGCGCTATATGGATTACAACAAACATCATCACTATGCAGAGAGTCGAGCGATGATGCACGAACGTGGTCAGTTACTTTCCAGTCGAGTGACCATCTTGTCTCCATCATAAATCTTTTCCACACAGTGTTTTCTTCTCGATATCGGCCCTAAACATCTCGTATGGATCGGCCTTAACCATTAAATAAAGAGTTCAAGATAATCAAGATTTCATGTCAGGCGACGGGAATGAAGAAGCAAAGGCGTTACAGGGCTGCAGCATAAATACATCTTATTGTAAGAGTGAAAATGGGATATGCAAATAAGTTAGAAACATATGTTTATTATGTTCTTTCTCTATGCAGACACATGTTCTTAAATGATTGTTATAATGTTGGTTACAAGTGTTTACAGTAATGTTAATATCCTGTTATTAGGTAGGCCACCTAGTGGGCACTGTTCAGGCAGGAGTGAGCTGTGGAGTGAGGGGAGAGAAAAGAGGAGAAGAAGAGGAGTTGTGTAATGTACCGTGCGTCGGAGAAGCGGACTAAAGTTACGAGAAAGACCCAGAATGTGTTTGGACTGATTTATTCCTTCACATACACCCACGTCGCTTACATTATTAAAGTTTTTGGGATGATTTGTGGGAACCACGGCAAACGTTGATGCTCAGCCCGTCAGCTGATGCACACTGCGGGCTCAGGCCTTCTCCTCCGGTTAGAAAACAGAGAGACACGAATGAAGCGGTGCAGTTTGTCAGTCTGTCCCTTTAAATCGTTGCATCAGTAGGGCAAACCAAACCCCATTCAGGAAACAAGCATTTTAAGAGTTATTTGCTTGTCAAGCGCACGAATCAAGACTTCAGACTTTTAACATATCCTCTTCATGACATTGTTACTTCAGCAGCTTTACACCCGGCATGTCATCAAACCTCAGATCCGTAAGGTTTGGGGTTCTTTGTGCTGCCGTCAGATCTCAGCCCTCAAACTGCTCGCTGAAGTTTGCTTTGCGTTTGGTCTGAACACGCGGCGAGGAAGAGCTCTGGTACAAATGGGATGTGATCAGTTAACAAAAAGTTTCATTTTCATTGCAGGTCAAAAACTTATGTCATTCAGCAGTCATATTCTTATAGGTGAGAGCAATGAGCCATGTGCAACCTGACCTATGAATCTGTGCGTCTCGTCTGTCGTAGCTGCGTGCAGAAATATGTTCGTGGTTAACCTCAGTTTGTGTCTCTGCAGGAAGAAGAAGATGATGACTGATCCCACAAACATGAGCATGACATCTTCACCAAGTAAGAAACGTCTTTAAACTCAAACAGTCGACCATCTGACCGCAGAGTCGGTGGAGGACTTTGTTCTTTTGTTTGGAACGAAGGGTCGTCACGGTAACAAAATCTGAGCAGAAACACAAAGACCTCGTCCTGATCATGGCGCTCTGTGTAACCTTTCCCTGCCTCTCTCTCTCTCCTTTCAGGCATTCCTTATAAAAACATTGACGATGAGAGTAAAGACAAGGCGACCAACATGTGAAGAAAAACGGGCGCTTTGTGAACTGAACTGAACAAATGTGCGTCCTCTAAGGAGACAAGAAACCGTCGCTAATGGAAGAATGTTGTGTTTTTGTGAATGTTGTTGTTTTGCTTTCTTAACTTATGCTTTGAAATGATATGATATTTAGTCCGATGTGTTTAATCAGGAGAAACCGTGAGAATGTTCATCTGTATTTTTAGAATTAAATGCTTATTAAGAAAACGTTTCTCTGAGTTTGTCTTATAACATGGCTGCTGCAAACACGAGCCTTTAATATAAACACACACAGAAACACAGAACGATGGAGACGTGTCACCTAGAAATACTTTATTCTTCATTCAAGTAAACAGAAACCAGGAGATTTGTCACAGTAGGAGACGACAGCACAAAAACACTTTGACATATGGAGTGGGACTCTGAACATGTGAGCCACTAGAGGAGTGTTAGAAGAAGGCACGTTCAGTTTGTCACACAGCAGCTGTGATCGCTGTCATCTCTGTCGGGTTGCAGCGCCTCAGCGTCAACGATTCGTCTGCCTGTGAACGGTCCCACCTCTGGCAAATAACCAATCATAGGCCAGGATTTTGTGTGGTACCTTTGGTCAATACGAACATCGTATCTATACCAAAGAGTGTAAATAAGAAGAGGTCGCAGCTTAAACCTGCATTCTGTCTTACAGCCAGCAGGGGGAGACTCCACAGTCTGATTGTGTAGAAGAGCATGTAGGTTCCCTCAGTAACAAGTTTATCGTTTCAACCTATAGATCCAAGTCTCCTTCTCCACAGCGTGATGTCCATTTAGTACGTTATTACCCAATTAGAGTCAAAGTCCGAAACCACATCCTACGTACGGCATGCTAACCCGACCTTTAGCATTAAGTACGTGAGCAACAACGTACTTCTACAGCTACGTGGTCATTTGAATAATTTTAAAGAACATGTCAAATGTATTTCAGCACAGAACTTTTAATTTAAGCCGCTAGTCAGCTGGCTGGCGAGCTCCTCGATTGGACAGTCTGAGAGCCGCAGTGCATTGTGGGACGGTTTAGTACGACCAGTGGGCTCCCGTTTCATACATAATTCTGGCCGTTCTCGTAAAAATCCGGATATTTCTCAAGTACACAAAATGTCTTCCTATGATTTCAGATCATCCTTCATAGGCGCTGTGATGTCACAGTGAGTCTGAAGGATGAAAGTCTACGACACAGCCAAAGAGACCAGGAATAGGGGGAGGAGTTAGGGGCTGGGCTACCTGTGATTGACAAGTCAATTCTTAAAAACAGTGACGACTCGGCTGGCTGTTACAACACAGCCTGAATGGTCGATTGCAATTGAAGTCCCACCTCTGGAAAGGCAAATAGCCAATCATAGTCAAGGATTTTGGGGTGGCACCTGGGGGGGGCAATAAGATTTCAAGGGGGGAACCATTCCACCCCTCTGGACACGCCCCTGGTTTTAGGGTCCTATCAAGTAAATTCAAAAAAATAAGTGACGCACAAAGTGGCGCCACATGGCGGACGCATGTAGCTCACATTGTTAAGGTTGTTTTCAGCTTCATGCTCTGAAAGTTTGGACGTTGAATTGAGCAGAACTACACATTGAAACAAACGGGCGCTCTGCTGTAGCGTTAGAGCGTGGAGTGTTTTAAACTCCTGACATTCCAACACTTTAAATAAATAAAAGAAGAACTGAAGCCTATAAACTTTCAGAAACCTCTAAGAAGGAAAGACTCTTTCTGCCGAGTCGTCGTAAAGACGAGCGGAGACTCAGCTTTGATCAAGTAAGAGAACATTAATCACATCTTCATGAACAAACATCACGTCGGCTGGATTTCTTTAAGTCAAAGTCGTCAAACATGAAACCTGAACTGGAACGTGTTCCGTGTTTATCCATGAAAACATCGACTGACACAGACGTCTTCGGTCCATCGAACAGTTTAAGAATACGGTCTTGTTTTTTTTAACCAACCAAAAAACAAAAGCTGCCAGAAAAACTAAAAACTAAAAACAAAGCAGAGAATCAGATTCTCCAACAGTCTGTCAAATGTTCTTCATGGTGCGTTCCATTTCGGGCTCTTTCATCATAATCGTGATCGCAATCAACACATTGTGAAAGTCTGAATTTATCGGTATAAACTCTGTAGAGTGTCGAGCGGTGATGCACGTACATGCTCAGTTACTTTCCAGCTGAGTGACCATCTTGTCTTTGTAGGGTTGTTGTAGGCTTTTCAACAAGTGTTAACTGAGGGATCAAAACAGTGAATGTGACTATCTAAATATATCTCAACAGATCGAAGAAAGATCTGAGAAAGGTATCGGCCTCATATCGGTATCGGCCGATATATCGGTATATAACCTTCATATCGGTCGGGCCCTGATTTTAGCTCGGGCTCCTGAAGGTTTGAGCCGCGCTGAACTGGAACGCACCCTCAGAAACCATCAACACAATAAAGCAGCACGTGTTAAAACAAACTTCAAATTAAAACTCTGATGTTCATGTGAAGGAGACGAGCTCCCACAGGAAGTGGAATCATAAACTGATAACTCAACAAGAAATCAATGAAAGGATTTTCAAAATAAAAACTAAACCAGTTAAACTTCAAATACCAGTGGAATGATAATGGACTGTAAACGATAAATCAGTGGAATCAAATTTCTGTTTTGTGTCCAATAGAACAGAAAACCAGTAAGACTATGAACCAGTGAAATTACAGAATAACCAGTACAATAATAAACCAGTACAATAATAAACCAGTGAAATGATAAACCAGTACAATAATAAACCAGTGAAATGATAAACCAGTACAATAATAAACCAGTGAAATGACAAACCAGTGAAATGATAAACCATTAGAAATGAACCAGAATCATATGACAACAGAAAAACTAAATCCCAGTGAAGGATTCATTAAATGAATGGAAGGACAAACCAGTTCATTTAAAAACCAGTGAAAAGGAACCATTAGGGCCCGTGTCCACAGACGGCGCCCTTTTTTCTTACTGAACAAATGTAAGTCAGCGTCTCAGCGTCCTTAGTGCTCAAACGCCCTTGGTGTCAGTTCAACTTTTAGAACGACACACTCGTCGATATTTTCTTCTTCTCCGGCCAATCAGAATCAAGAAGGGGCGTGGCTTACAACATTGTCTTTGTCAACAACAATGGCGGAGGAGACGCTGGTCTTCCTCGTCTTCTGGAGGGAACAGTTTTCAGCTGGCGTCAGGACACGACTCCTCTACATCGTCTTCATGATGAATTAAAGAGGAAGTTAGTTTTGGTAACCATAGCAACCATGAACACTAGTGTGAAGCGCTCTGAAAATGAGGCTATGGGCGCCGTCTGTGGACACAGGTCATGATAAACCAGTGAGATGATAAAACCAGTGAGATGATGAACCAGTGTAAACTCTTGAAGTGAAAAAATGTTCATCACTCCATATTTTATGTTATTCATCATCTTTACCCTGCAGCATCTCTCCTCTCCTTGGCCTCTCGTCCTCTCATCTCCTTGTCCTCTACTCTTCCTCTCCTTTTCTCGTCCTCTCATCTCCTTGTCCTTTCCTCGTCCTCTCCTCGTCCTCCTCCTTTCGTCTACTCGTCCTCTGCTCTCCTCGTCCTCCTCCTCTCATCTCCTCGTCCTCTCCTCATCCTCTCTCTCAGGCGGTGGATGAGACTCTGCGTGATGGATGAACAGAAAATCAAACACAGTTTCTCTTCAGGGTATTTCAGACGAACAGACAGAAATGATAAAGCAGACATTCTGACTTCTTTCCGTGCAGAGTGAGACATCATGCATGTTGAGTTTCATCCAATCACTGACTAACTGCTGCACAGTCCCTAAAGTTTGAAAGTAGAAACAACGACAACAAAGAAGACGACGTGTGAATCTCTATAACGAGTAACATTTGAGCTAAACGTTGATGTGGAGTAAGAGAATAAATCAAAAGTATCTAAACATGAAGTAAACGTCTTCTGCCCCTCATGTTGATGAGGAATATGACGTTGCGTCGACAAGTCGGGCACCTCGTTCTTTCCAGAGTTTACAAGTCGTTGTTCGGACTTGAGCCGGCGTCCCCGTGCATTTTCAAACTCGAACACTCGTCTTCCCATTGCGTCCGACACCACATAAACGCAGATTAAGACTACACGATGTCTGACTGGATTCTGTGATTGGACCTAATAGACTTCTGGACTGGATCAACCAATCATAGCTTCTGAAAGAATGTGTCACACGTAGCAACGAGATCGACCACGCCTCCTCGATAAGATTAAAGTGTCCTTCCTCGCTCAGAGTCGTTCTGAGGATGCGGACGTAAAGACACTTCTGCTCCTTAAACTTTTAGGAAACTTAAAAAAATGTTTACCCCAAAGTTGAACTCCGATAATGACAGAGAAACGCTGGAGTCGGACCCCGGAGTCATTTAACGCTTCGAATGACCCTCCTACAGCTTACCTGCTGTGTGTCTCTCTGATTGGCTGCAGCACCAACACCTTACACTCTCTCTTTGCGATCTTGTCCAGCGGGAGGGAGGCGTGTTCAGGGGCGACTGCTCGACCTGACGGAGACCCCACAGGAGGGGTGATGATGTGAGGGTCCATCACACTGCCCGACCTGCAGACAGCAGAGTCAGTGAGGACAGAAAACACTAGAGTTTCCAGTTTGAACAGAGGGCGGTGAAGGCACCACGCTGCTACTCGTACCTGACGTGGTGACTCCTGGACGGACGCTGATGGGAGAAGCTCTGAGAGCGGCCCAGGCCGTGTCCCTCCTGCAGGTCTCTGACGGCTCGGCTGGGTGAAGGTGAGGATGATGATGGTGGAGGGTTCTTCAGAGGGGACGAAGGCTCCCCCGGAGGAGAGGAAGTGAACTGCAGCTTCAGCTTCATGTGCTGACTCAGCTGTGGGGGTATAAGATCAAGGTCAAGGTCGACTTTATTTATATAGGACTTTAAACAAACCTAAACACTCTACAGAAAAGTAGAACATATCAAAATAAAAACAGCAGTTCAAAGGTCATCACATGGCGAAAATATTAGAAACAGGACGATCACTAACGCACAGAGAAGCACTGCCAAAGTGGAGACGTCCGCTCGATTCAGACGAGCGGACAAAAGAAAGAAAGAGAGAGAGAGAGAGAGAGAAATGGTTTGTGTTGGCAGATATTTCAGGATTCTGATGAAATAAGTCTTTGAGTTAAAATCAGAGTTCAGGTCATCAGTGATCAATGAGGTTACCTCGAACAGTCCGGAGTGAAGGATCTGAAACGCCACGCTGAAGGAGAGGACGGAGCCTTTTTTACACCGACCCAGGTGATTGAGAGGAGACTGACACACCACAGAGTCCAACATGGCGTCCTTCGCACCTCCTCTCCGAGCTGAGGGACGGACAGAGAGGAAGTAATAATCTGAAGTTATTATAACTGAATCAAGTGAAGTGAACTGAAGTGTTTTAAAACACTCAGGAGCCACAGGTCAGATTCCAACCCGGGCCGTCCGCTGTACGCACTAACCACTAGAGTACCGGCGCCAAAAGATTATCTCATCTTCAGCTTCCTATTCCTCAGACACTCCCTCAAACACTTTGAAAGCTGCTTCAGAATATTTTAACGCTGACTTCACTGAATCTGTCACATCTGGACATTGACACGGTTGTCATGGCAACACAGCTAGACAAGGGCAGATGACTTCAACTCACAACAATGTGGACACACCCAGACTGAGCTGGGTAATTAAATCAGACATGACAAACTTTTTATCTCATCTTCTGTTTAAAAGACAAATATCTGACCAAGCTGCCGGGACGTCCTCCTCCTGAACAGTCCCATTCTGACTTGTACATTTGTAGATTTTAGACGTTTTCAACCATTTGTCTGTTAATGACACGAACAGATTTTAAAGCAGGAGGTCAAACTGAGAAGGTGCTCACCCTCAGAGTTCCAGATCAGACGGACGGACAGGAAGTCCTGGAGGTCGTTGAGCAGGTGTATTTAACCCAGAAGAGCTCCAGAGGTCTGACTGCCCGGGGACAGGAAGCTGTCATCACCAGGCGAGGACGATCCAGGCGGATACTCGGCAACGAGTAACAACTGGAGATAAATCTGGAGAGCGAGAAAGAAGTGCGGGTCATTTCCTTTTGTTGAACATTTGAATAGGGCGGTTATTTTGGGTTGTCATAGCAACAAAAGCACTGTTCCTTAAAGTGTCCCAGTGAGCCGTGACTACGGACTTTCTCATGGTTCCAGGAACCTTTTGGACCCTCCCCCTTTTTACTTCAATCTGCAGCTCAGGACATCTGAACTATTTTAGTTTAGAGGAACCTTTTTGAGTTTCTGCTCCAGAGGAGGGACTCGTACGGTAAGTGCACAGTGATTGGTACACCAGCCGCCATTTTTAAACCCCTCTGTCAACATGTTTCTATTTGTATCATCAATGTTTTACCGCTAGAGTCTGCTTATACACGGATGTACAGCCCTCACCTTCAACATCACCACCCTGGTATCACTCAACCTTGGAATGGAAGTCACATGACCAGGATTTAGTCAGACCCCTGATATACAGAGGACATGATAGATTCCTGACATCTAGTGGGAACCAATTAGGTCATGAAAGTCAGCCACTCCAGGACTTAGACATGCACCAGTGAAACAAAAAGGACATCTCCATAAACATATGTGGACAGGACGGACACGAGGGTGTGATGTTGAAACAAATGAACTCCAACACCTGCATGGAGGTGGGACAATCCAGGATTCAGCTCCTCCAGTTAAAACACTAAATATGAAAAACATTCAAACCGTCTCTGAAAAGACTTTGTAGTAGATCCTCTCCGCTGCTGTACTTCCTCTTCCTGCGGAGGATTTTAAACAGATCTGTTTGAAGTTTTTGGGACATTTTCAGTTTAAAGGAAATCCACGTCACGGGCAGATTAAACATTAATCCGGCAGAAAGTCAGACTTTGACACAAACTGTGAGACATGAAGCAGTTACTGACCACCTCGCCTCTGATCGAAATCTTTAACCGTCTCACAGGAACACTTCCTGTTTCTATCGTTACTCTTAAAGAATTATAAACACTTTAACCCCTCGTCATCCGCACTTTTTAAAGCTGCTAAAGGTCGATGAGAAGAGGAGCCGTTACCTGGTGTACGGCAGATTTGGAGTGTACCACTGCAACACAGCCACCAACGGGACCTCCAAACCCTGCAGAGAAGAGACACGGGATGATATAAAGTTTCAGATGATTTCTGCAGAGATTGTTCAAACAGTCTTTGTCACACTTTGTCTTTACTGCATAAAGGATAGGCAAGTTTATTTATGTCGCACATTTCAAAAACAAGGCAATTCAAAGTGCTTCACACAAGATAGCAAAAGCACCATAAAGAAACATTAAAATAGAAAATTTTAAAAATGACTGAAATAATTAAAGTAAAAATATAAAAAGAGTTAAAAGTTACAGTGAGGAGTAAAAGTTTAAAATCTTATTAAAATTGTTTCATTAAAGGCAGCTGTAAACAGGTGAGTCTTCAACCTCGAACCTCAATTAAAGGATATTAAACGTTGGGATTCTGGATCTTAAAAGTCTCTACAATGTTTAGAAGTTTGTCTCCCACACTGACGATTAAAGGGAACAGACATTTCCTTCATCGTGTCCTCTCACCTCACTCGAGTCTTCATCGTCTGAGTTTTGTAGCTGCAGCTGGAACAGGAAGTTCTGCTCCTCCAGGGCGCTGAGCATGCTGGGTAAACGTGACGACTCGCTGTCTATCCGACAGAACGACGCCGTGGAGACCTCAGCCGGCTGGTGGCTGCAGTGGGACAGAGTTAGTGTTTGTGAGGAGGCTCTGAAGAACACCTCACCGACTCGGCGCTCCTGTACTCACCAGACGTTATCGACGATCAGGACGGAGCCGTCTGGCATCATGGGGAGGTAGGACGAGTTGTAGTTTGGGAGAATCTTCATGTCTCTGAGACAGACGTCCTCCTGAGAGCTGCAGTTCAACACTGAGGACGAAACAGAGAATCAGCTGTCAGGTCAGAGAACATATACTCTTAATTTATTTTAAATGTAGAATCTGGGTCTTTAGCATGTGCTCTGCGATCACTTGTAGGCTGAGTAGCATTGACCAATCACAAATCAGCAGGCTTTGACTCATGCAGGAAAAACATCCTGTAAGGGGAATTCGCTTCAGCAGACCTGAGAGTGCGGGTGAAGCGCAGACAGGTAAGGGGGAGGGGCTTATACATGTAGGGGGGAGGGGCCAGATGATGGAGGGCTTTCCATGCCTGCTTTCCATCCCGCCCGCTACCTTAAAAGTCTAAAGTTGATCGGGCCCTCGCTGTTTTAGCCCCCACTCTCTGGAATCATCTCCCTACAAGCTTCTAAAAACTCACCTGTTCAGACGAGCCACGCTACTCACTTCCTGACTTATTTCAGACAATAACTGATGCGTTCTTAGATTGATGCTAAGTGAGTGTGCGTGTGTACGTGTGTGTGTTACCTTTGAGGACAGTGAGATGTTTTCCAGACACAGTCATCTGCTGACACTGAAGGCTGGGAGGAGGAAGAACGTTGAGGAAGGTGCTGACTGAGAATGAAACACAACATGAGAACAGAGTCACAGCGGGAGCTTTACCTGCACACTGTGTGTGTGTGTGTGTGTGTGTTTGTGTGTGTGTTTTACCCTGAGCCTTGAAGGAGCTCTGGTCCTGTCTGAAGGTTTGTGCTGGACTCCTTAGCTGCAGCAGAGTCAGGTATCCGTGTTCTCTCACCTCCACCTCTTCATCATCCTGCTTCCACACCGTCACCACCACCTGAGGACACACACACGCACACGCACGCGCACGCACGCACGCACGCACGCACGCACGCACGCACGCACGCACGCACGCACGCACGCACGCACGCACGCACACACACACACGCACACACACACACAGATTGTGTTTTAGATTTTAAAAGGAAAGTTACAACGGTACCAACAGAAGTATTGGCATATTGATCACATCATTACTGTGTGTGTGTGTGTGTGTGTGTGTGTGTGTGTGTGTGTCTGACCTTTGCTCTGACCGTGTTGACTGGCAGTTTGTCCAGAGAGACGGTGAGACAGAAGACGACCTGATCGTCCAGAACCAGAGCAGACTGCAGGAGGAAACGGAGAGAGAGGTTACAGAGCGGAGAGACGATGTGTGAAAATAATCAGAGCACAAAGCTCTGCAGCTGCATGTCATTTTTAATGTTAAGTGTTTGAGTATAGGAGACTATCCCTGTCAGACGGGGGGGGGGGGGTGTCTCCTGATGCAAGACGTGACGTAAAAGTGGCGGACAGAGTCCCCTATACGACACTATAATGAGAATATGTGTCTTTCTATCAATGCTACGTGTAGTTGAACAGAATCTCAATGTGATCTAAAGAGTGGAGAAGAACATACTGGAGAACAGGAAACATAATGCAGCAGGTTCATTAGAGCACGGAGATGGTAGAGGTGGCGTGCAGACAGTCTATGGTCGTGCAGCGATCACAGGGAATAAACGTCACCACCCCCTCCCACTCGCTCCAGGTGAATTCTCCTGATTATATCCTGCTGCGTTCTCACATCAGCTCACTCTGACTTTCTGCAGAATAAATATGAGGAGGCTGGAGGAGAAACTCCGGGTGAAGAGAGAAACATTCAGCTGTTTGTGTTCACACATGACGCTCAACACCAACACTTCAGGCGGTTTCTGAAGGTGTGAAGATCCTATCTCATTTCAGTTTGGCTGTTTAAGGAACTTAAGTTTTAGTATTTCACGAGTAGAATTCATTCACACATCACATATTTAGCTGATGTAAAGAAGGCAGACTCACAAGCTGCAAACGTTTCCCTCGTGTTTCTGACAACAAGAAGTCGTGTTCAGGATGTTTTTTTTTAATCTGTACAGAAGAACATGACGATAAACTCTTCTATTGGGCTGTTGGGGGCGCTGATAGCCCATGTACAGAGGCCCTTGTCCTCATCACAGCGGCTGTGGGTTTTAGCTCGAAGCAGTCGTCTCTGTGCAAACATGTTTAACCACCCGCTTAAGTTGGTCCCCAGCACGCCGTAATGTTCTGTGCATTCAGTCCCCCTGCAGACGTCTGAGGAACCCCCCCCCCCCAGTCAGCAGACCGACAGGTGGCGACCTGATCTGGTTCACAGCGCCTCAGGAGCTGAACGTTCAGTCAAGTCTGGACTCATCTGCAGCACAGAGATGGTGCAACAAGCAGAGTGAAGTCTGCAGCGGTTTATCAGAGAGACTCACATACCACAGATAACTAAAGACACAGTGGGCGTCTAAAGGCCTGAGGTCTCTGGTCAGATCTGTGAGGGGAACTTCCTGTGACCTCTCCATTAAAGTGGTACGACCAGCAGCGAGTTCAGAGGTTTAAGTCCTAATTAGTGTCGTCAAACTTTAAACAGACGTCCCCTAACCCAGGAGACCCCCTCCCCACCCAGAGGGGAAGGGGGTCTACGCCCCCCCTCTCACCTTCACCGGTTCCCTGGCGCCCGGTCGCCCATCTCTGCCCGGGTAGCTGTGCATGAGAAGCGGGCTGCAGTGTGCGAAGGCCCGGGTCCTGTCCCCGCTGTCCCCCGGCTCCTCCTCCTCTTCGTCCTCGCTGCAGCTGGAGGTCTGGATGTCCGGCTCACACTCATCGGCTCTCTGCTGTCGCCTCTCTGCGGCGCACACGCTCACCACAGCGGACAGAGAGCCCGCCAGGTCCTTCCAGGGTGAAATACCAGAGCTGTCATGCTTCTTCACCGCGTCCTGCAACTAGACAAGACAGCAGAATGTTAAACTTAATCTAAGAGTAAAATCAAAAGTTTTGATATCACAACAACAAAGACTGAAGTCCTACACCCCCGATACCGGAACAGTTGTTGTTTTGAATTATCAGAAATGAAAAGCACACTGTGTTGGCAACGTTACGTCAGAGACAGTAAGATACGCAAAAGTGTCATCAACCTTACCAAGTCCGGTTGTACGGCTACTATCTTATCACACATGAGCAACACAGCGTCCACAGGAACCCTCAGGTCGGAGGAGAGGAGAGCAAAAAGGAAAGTAGCTCAGTTACTGACATCCATCAATGGCAGGAGGATAAAAACAAGGCGCCGTCCAGCGACACCCCTCCCATAGAAGCTTAGCAACACAGCATCTTTTTTGGTTTTTGTTTATTTTTTAGCGATGTTTCATTACTTTGTGATGTTTTAATCGTGACCCGATGATGGACTGCAGATGTAAACTAGCTCTAAGCCGGGCGTAATCTGTACGATTTCAGGCCCATTTAGACCCGATGTTTGAGTCGTACGACTGAGACACGACAGACGATCACCGATCAGCTGCTCTCCATCAGTTGACTTATTTTCTGACATGTTTGATATTTCAGCTGTAGGACTGCACACACTCACACAGAGAGAGCGGAGCCACGAGCCGATTCACTGACTCCTGGACTTCTACCTACACAAACTGACAGACAGCATCTGAAATCACCATGGCAACAGCAGGAGGCATGCCTGTTGGATCTGTCTCCCTCCTCCTATTGTAAAAGAAACGAGCAGAAACATACGCAGAGCTCCGGCTGACAGGAAACAAACACAAGTCCTGAGCACCAAATATAGTGATGTTTCAGTTTTTAATCACCAAGAAAGCAGGTTCACTAAAGATAACTGTCTTAATTTCATAAAAAACATCGAAAACTTTTCCATTCTGACACATTGACAAAGTGTTTCTGCAAACCAGCCTCATTCACGCGCCTGTCTGATGAAATAAATGTAGTTTTTAAGCTTATTTTGACGCTATCGATCATTAAATCATCGTTTAAAAACACGTTGTATCGAAGAGGATCCAAAGTGTTGATTGACAGCCTTACCCGGAACCTGAGGACCAGCAGCACCTGGACGGTCTCCCCCAGGTAGACCTGTTTCCGCTTCGGCAGAGACGTGAACTCGGACAGGTCGGTGAGACTTGATACCGGAGCGGCGGGAAAATACATGAAATACTCACACCGGGACTCCATGTTTGACGTTTAACGGTCATTACCGTCGGCTCCTAACGTAAACACACCGGGGAGACCGCCATCACTGCTCTGCTTCCGCTAACAATACAAACAATAGGACGGCTAATCGAGTTAGAGCTGCGCCGCTGACTGTACTAATCGATCCCAGGAGGAAGAACACGGAATTAATTTACTACGATAAAAAAATACACGCTTCCATCTTATATTATTATTTGTATTTAATATAAATAAATATATCAGCTACAGGCACGTTGTAGAGGCGCTAACATCTTTACTGTTCTAAACAACAGGTCGGATAATCGATGCCCGAGTCAGAGCTGTTCTCCAGACCAAACTAATCAACCACAGAGCCGCATAACCACCAAACGATCTGTTTACTTCTTTAAATTAGAATTTTATTTCGTTCTTTATTAATAAGCAAACAAACTTTTAAACTATGAAACATTTCACAAGCAAATTTAAAGACAAACTGACCGAAAACAACAAAACAAACATAAACAATAATGAGAATTTTAGTTTATTTAATTTAGAAATTTCAATTTCAAATTCCAATGAAATAAATTACAATTAGAGTAAATTAGATTTAAATATGTTTAATTAAATTAAAATTAAATAAATTAAATAAAAAATGAATTAGTAAAATCAGACTTAAATGTACTTTTAAAAATCTAATTAAAAGTCAAATTAAATGAAAATAAAAAAATGAGAATAAATAAAGGTGTTTTAATCAAAGTAAATATTAATAATTCAGAGTCTTTGGGTAACTTCTTCAAAGACTGAATAAATATTTTTATGTCATTTTTAAATGTTAGTGTGAGCGTTAATACAGACTCAATTCTGCACGATGAATTAACAATCATCACATTAATATAAAAAAGATTTTTAAAATAGTTGGTTAATAAATGTAACCTTTAGTGAAACTTTAATGTTGAAATATTTAGAGTTCAAATGAGAACAATGAAGCTCAGTAAAGAGACGAACTCTGCCTTCAAACATGAGAGAAGAAAAAACAGACGGTTAAATGTTCAAATAGAGGAGATAAGATTTATAATAAGTCATAATAATAAAAAATATAATGACGTCTTCTTTTTGTCACAGGCCTCATGGAAAAAAGTTTCTGTTATTTTTTAATCTAAGTGATTTTCTTATCTACCCAAGGTGATGTTTGATGTGTCCTCCTTCATGCCGCTCTAATGTTTCTCTTATTCGTCGCGTTGAGTTATAGAAGGTTCCTGGTTTGAATCCCCGTCCGACAGGAGCCTCTCTGTGTGGAGTTTGCCTGTTCTCAGAGGACGTGCATCCATTTTTTTTCCATTAAATTATTTAATTTCAAGATCTCCAACAACTTATCTCGTTTACTTGGGATTGCAGCGCTGGCTTCCCAAAAGAACAAGTTCATTTCAGTTGTTTCCTCCAGATCTTGAGGAATTATCTGATTTTCACGGGAAGACAAGCATTGTTGTGAGATGATTTCAAGGAAACAACCGGAATCTGCTCGTTATCATCGTCATGTGAAAATGTTGTCAAACTAAATGTACTGATGTTTGTCCACTCAGGCTTCCATACATACAGAATGTAATATTTAAAAATAAGACATTGGTGCTGTCTCTTCTTTGTTTGCAGTTTAGATTCTAATGGTTATAATCATTCCCACAGACCTTGAATGTAACATTCAAGGGGACAAAAATCCACTTGCAGTGTTTCTGAACATTTATTTTGGTAACCTGAGTGTCTACCGACCCACAAAATGTGAAATAAATCCATCCAGTCCTTTGTTTGTGGTCTGCATAAGTCTTACAACACAGAGAAAAAGGCTCCATTTCAAATGTGCTCTCCTTGTGATGTCACAGTGGGATTCTGGTAAAAACAAATCCCCTCTCCTGATATCTCCACCCCCAGCCTAGAGCTAAACCTTTGTGCATGTCCGCCATTTTTATTCTCGCTACAGAGGAGTGATGTCTACCGGGAAAACTCGGGGGGTCATTTCATTTAAAGAGACACACACACCAAAACGGAGCATTCTGAGAGAGCTGGTTTATACAGGGTCACAAACCTCCTCTGGTGCTTGATTCATGTTATATTTTGACCAAAGCACAGCACAGATGTTTCATTTAGACAACAGGTGACTGTTTGGAAAGGTGGAAAGGTGGAAAGGGAGGGTAATATGTCCTCTTTAATATATTCAAACACCTCCTGATTGGCTGAACGCTGTTTGTGAAGTCAATGACCAACGGGTAAAAATGAAGCAGACAAGTTGTTGCAGTTTAGGAACCGTTGCTTTTTTATTCAGAACAAGAAAAAAAACAGCTGAGAGGAAGCACACAAACGGTGCAACCCGCTACAAACCCAACAAAAATACAGTTTCAAGTAAAACCCAATCTAGAGCTGCGAGCCGCTCTTGAACAAACTGTCAGGCCTCTGCCTCCAGCTGAGCCTGTGACAGCTTGAGGTGGTTTCAGGTAAAGTACGTCGTGTCAGTGATGACCTGCGGAGTGGAGAAGACGTCTAAATGAAGCGTGCATGAGAGCAATTTAAACCACAGCGTGTAGCAGAGCTGCTGCTCGCTGTGAAGACTTACACACACAAGACGTACCTGATATTCTGAAACACGGCATGTAACATACAACATGTTCACACAGGAAGTACACAAGTAACACGCTACTGAGAGTCACAGTACCGGAGCAGAAACACGCTTTGACCACGTCCTCCTGGAAGAATAAAAACTTGTCTCATCGGGTTTGACAGGGAAGACTGACTGAGATTTCACAGATTATTTCTGACCATCATCTTGTTTTCTTGAGATACGTTTGCTTCTGTTAATCATTCGTACGATAACCGAATGATTTAGGGACAATGTACGTCTTGATGTAAAGATTACATGCTCCAGGTCTGGGATCCACATGTTTCTTTAAATGTCCAATCAGTGAGATGTGTAGTGAGTGAAATGATAAAGTGACCTTACTACATGATCAGACATTAAGGAAACATGCTATGTTGAAGTGCTGGCTTCTCTGACAACAACGCAGTAGCCAGTATGTCCTCCTTCTAACTTTAGATTCTGGTCCTGAATGATCTGGATTTGTTTGGACCAGAGAAGGTAGGCGGTTTTAAGGCACCCCCACACGGCTGTTTTGAACGCCCCTCGGTTTGTCAGATATGAGAGCAGTTATCAGGTCAAACCAACAGGTGTTGCAGCGATGGAAGCGGGCAAGAGAAGTGGTTCAGATAGAAGTGATTGTACCCGACCTAAAAAGCCTCTGCATGTTTCTAATAAGCTCCACGAGCAGAAACGTGCTCAAACTAGGATCAATGTTGGAGATGCTTTTGACAAATGGAGAGAGGTTAGAACACAGAAAGGTTTACAGACTGATGCAGAGCTGGAAAAACACTGAAGCTTCAGTGTCCACCACATGGCAACCTGTGAGAGCATGGACTCTAGAGAGGAGGGGACGGTAGATGGTGCAGTACCCATTTTGAACAATAGGGGTCAGAGTTAATTGCTGCTCCTTTAACATGTTAACTATTTGTAACAAAAACAAACATGTGCATTTCAAAGTATAACCTTACATTTTTAAACTTAAAATTCAAGAAAGGTATTCCGGTGTAGCGTCCAGAAACAAATATAACCTTTGCATTTCCATATGACTTTGTACCTTTAAAGGGTCATATTATGCTTTTTCTGGTTTTATATGCTCTTTAGTGTGTTTTCCAAGTGTCCTGTGCATGTTTAGGCACATCTATGTGCAAAAATTCAAAGTCCGTGGAAACGCGGCTTCTCCTACGTCCTCCTGTTAGCTGCAGCATAAGCTGCATGTAACACTCGGTTCTAGCCCCCCTCAAAAAATGTTTGCCAGTGTGACGTCTTGTCAGTGTGATATCACTGATCTAAGCCCATTGGCTCGTTGTGGCAAGCCCTGCAGCTCATGTTGTATGCCCGTTAACTTCTGTAGCACGCCCATGATATGCCGCAGCCTGTGGTAGCACAGTACTGCTAAGGTGCTAATGTTTATGCTCCCCTCGGACGGAGCCAAAGTGGCTGCATTCCCAATATGGTAAAAGGGGCGGGACATTTCCGAGAACTGTGCTGAGCGACTGACCAATTACGGCAGAGCCGACAGGCCGACCAATCAGATCAGACTTGGCACACTTGGGGACTCTGAACGTGGGCACTTCAGAGCCTTAGAGAGAGAGTCAGAAGCGAGCCGGTGCATGGAGCGGCAGTACATGAAAACAGACACTTTTTTAGAACTTTAGCTATTGTGAACATACTTTAGTAGGTACACAGATTAAATATACGAACCCCAAAAAGGGCATAATATGACCTCTTTAAATAGTTCAGAAACTGAATCATTCACTTTTAAAACGACCAAAAGAAAAACAAATCTTCAGATGTTTGTCATGTACCGGTCCTTCAACACATATGCATCCAAAAACAAAAAGTACCTTAACATGTTTCACATTTGACATTTCAAAATTCGCGTGACTTTAAAAGGAAGAATGTGCGACATGTTCCACATAAATATATCATGAATCCAGTCTATCCTGTGTAAATGAGTCATGACTGTCTACAATGAGTGAGAAGCTCGAGTCCCGCTGGCTGTGTTGTTGTCAGAGCTGTGTTTACATGGACAGGACGGCTGGCTCCTCCCCTTGTGTATAAAAGCTGTTTTAGTCAAGAGACTAGAGAGAAGAACATACTCACTGATTATTTGAATGTTAGTGAGAGTTTTTAGATCACCGCCATTCTGTGTCAATTTACATGCAATGTGAAGCTACGAGCTAACTAAAGAGCGCTAACATTAGCATGCTAACACAACAATGTAGGACACAGGTGATTGCAGCTCGAGCCAATGTGGGGAGGGGTTGGAGGTGTGTCTCTGGAGGAGAGTGGAGGCTTCAGTATGGAGGAGGCGTGGCCAAACAGGAAGTTTGTTTTGGTTTCATGCTGGCACTCAAGAGCGACATCTACTGGATCAAAAAGTTGCACATTCTTCCTTTAAATGTCTCACTTGAAATACAAGAAAAATACAACCATCATCTCCACTAATCGTGTCTGTTAGTTTGAACTTGAGGTCAGATGTGAGTTAGCAGCTCCTTTGAGGTTCCCTGAAGCTGCTAATTTAGCTCCTGGTTTGTCTTTTCTTAAACTCTGATCGACCTGTTTCGAGGCACCCTGAAGCTTTTGGTGTCTGTCGTTAGGTTTCCATTCACAACACAGTTTCTAGGTATTTTTTTAAATAGTGTGGGAGTCTGTTTTAGGGTTCTCTTTAGCCTCAAATTCAAGGTGCTTTTAGCCGCAGTTTGACGGCTGTGTTCTTCCCTCTAACACATAATCAGGACGGTTTATAGTTCCTTTTATCAGCTGTCTTTAAGAACCCAAAGAGTACACTGCAAGGTGGCCTTTAGCGGCTGTAACAAGGTGTGTGACCTTTCTTTCCAGGTACAACTTGGAAAGTTTCTCTGTATTCGTTTTTATGGTGTACTCTAACGTCTGTATTACGGCGCCCTTTAAAGCTGTCTGAAGTGGGTTTGGTCTTTTTGAGTGACCCAGTCATTTTAGTTTGTAGGTTCCATTTAGCAGCCGTAACACAGTGTTGGTTGGTAAACGCAGACGCTCGGTCTCCTGGGTGAAAGTCGGGGAAATGTTTGACCCATCCCTCGTCTCCTCTGCAGGTCAAAGGTGAACTAACCCGCCGTCCTATCATGTCCCCTCTCTCTGCTCCATGTACGAGCACAGAGATGATTTTATTCCTGTGTTCACGGACGTTTGGAGTTCATTGCCTTGCATCGTTAGAGGACTGAACGGCGTTACGTCAACATGCAGTTTGATTTATTCTGAGACGGCGTTTCAGATCAGCGGTTCACAAATCTCGTGTTTCCCTGACAGACAACGGAGAATGAATGAAGCCAGGTTTGTCCCGTACATTTGACATCTTTGTTAACTCTTTATCTCTCTCTCTCTTTGACTCAGCGTCTCTCCGAGCCGGTGAACAGTCTCCCTTTCATCCAAGCAAACAGAGGAGGCAGCCATCCAAACACAAAGCCGAACACCCAATCCCCCCCGACAGGCCGACGGCTGTAAGGAGACACTCTTCACACCGCACACACTCCGCTGCTCGGCGTGAGAGCCACTTTGTTTGTGGCTCTCAGCGTCAGTCAGTCAAAAGTTCAACGTTTACAGAGACACAACGAGAGCTCTTCAACACTCTGAGAGCTGTTTCCAGACCTTTGTTCTCCGCCTGAACCTGGAGACGCCGAGCGGCCGGAGTAAACTCTGACATATCTGCACAGTTTCCCATAAACTGACTGAAAGAAGAGGACAAAGAATGAGCAGCCTCTCATTGGTTAAAAGACAACTGAGAGTTTAAAGGCTTTCAGTTGTCGCCATCTTGGTTTTCTGAACTCAAAGGTGATCAAACTTGGAAAAGAGGCTGGAGAAAAAGTTTTGGAATTTCAAACTTCGATATGAATCTCGTAATAATCGAACGACATCAGGACATGTTTGATACCACAGCAACAAAAATAGACGTCCTAGGCAGCAGCTATCGTGGTAGCTTCTTGTCTTTAATGGTCAAAGGTTGCAGACAGACTTCAGCACACTCGGGGGCCTGGTGGTTAGTTTGCACGCCCCATGTACGAAGGCCCGGGTTCTAATCTGACCTGTGGCTCCTTTCCCGCCTGTCGTTCCCCCTCTCTCTCCTCTGTCCTGTCTCTACAATAAAAGCCCCAAAAATAAACCTTAAACAAACCAAACATCTGCACACTGTTTGAGTCGAACAAATATGTTGGCAGCATTTGCGTTCTGAAACGTCTGCCCGTTCTCTGTGCTGGAACTGGAGCGTCTCGGTGCCACACATTCCTCTCTGAAAATGGATTCTCAGATGACCAGACTTCAGCCTCGTTTTGCTCCGAACAGGAAATATGTGGTGAGTGTCACAGCAGAGAGTGAAAACCACAGAAGAAGAGCAGCATGGTGAGGTGCTCACATGAGCTTCCTGTGTGTTCACCGGACGGCTGCACACGCACGGCTCCGACGCAACACGATCAATAAACGACAGAATGATGAATGACTGCAGAGCATTCTGAAGAATGTCATCTTAGAGCCTTTTCAAACCCAACCTTCCTGCTTTAACCCCTGCATTAAAACATTCTCTTATCAGAGCTGGTCTCCCTTTACAATCTCTTCTTCTGTGTTTTTCTGCCGCTCTGATCAGATCAGTCTTTCCCCTCAGTGAGTACACATGCAGCAGTGAAGCGCTCAGAGGAAAGACCTTCTAGAAAAACCAGTCAGACACCAAGCAGCAGACCTGACCCAGGAGGAGGACTTACTGTAGGAGCTGCACCAACCCGTGTGCGGTCACATGACCCTGACGGAGAGATCGACAGGTGTCTTGTGTTATGTTGCATGCTGACGAGGAAGCAGCGTTAAATCAACTCTTCAGATGCATTCCAGAGATTCTTAAGAGTTTGTTTCCTGCAGCAAAAAGCTGCATCAAGGAAACGGCTTCAGTCCGTCTGTTCAATATTGTTGTCTTTAGTTACAGCCGGCGGGCACAGGTCACTAACGGCGAGAAATAGATTGAATATTCAGCGTGCAACTACAGGCTGCGTTCATGCACGGAGTCTGTCGCAGTAAATCCACGTTCACACTGCAGGAACTTTCCCTCAGGGACGGGGAACCTGTCTGAATTAAGATCCAGGGGCGATTTCTTTTTAACACCCAAAACAAGTCCAGGAAGATTTGTGACGTAGAAACTGATGTTTGTTTGCACGAAACGTCAACATGTTCTTGCACGTGTGAAAGAATATCTGAAGAACACGTTAATTCCTCGCACAGCTGATGAAAAGTCCTTTAGCAGTTTTTATGTTCCCTATGTCGAGGTTCCCTTCATGTCTGTTTTAAGGAACCCCAGAAGGAGTCCCTGAAGAAGCAGCTAACCTGTCAGCTCTGGTTTTAAGTTAGTTTTTATGTTTTCATTTCAACATGTGGTTCGGTCTGTCTTCAGGTACCTGAAGCAGCAGTTTGAAAGTACCTTTGTGTTTGTCTTAGGGTAAAATTCATTTTAAAAAAGTACGCTTAAGAGGCTGTGTTTAAGTGCTGTTGTTATGTTTTATTTCTATTATGTGGCTCGGACTTTCTTCGGGTACCCTCAGGCGGAGATGTCATGGTGCAATGTTAAACATCTGTTCTTGTCTTTTCTAACACTTGGTAAGGTTTGTTTAAAAGCTTAAGCTGCTGTGTTTTAGTGTTTTCTTCTCTTGACTATGTGGCTCGTTCTGTCTTCAGGTACCCTGAAGCAGCAGTTGGAAAGTGTCCTCTTGTTTGTCACATGGTTCCCTGTGCAGCAGTTTCGGGGGGTGCTGGAGAAATTATCAAACAAAAACACATTCCTGTGTTTTTCTCTGCGGGGGAGTGGTTCTTCAGCGTTTCATTTCATGCAAGAGTAACGTGTAAAAACAGATTTTTAAAGGTCAGAAGATGAATTTACTTCAACTTCAGACGTCTTTAGAAACTGTTGGAAACAGACAACAGGCTTCAGTTCACGAGAACTGCACACATCTTCTGACCGATGATCCGTGTTTCTCACGTCTTTTTTTAAGGATGTTTGAACATGTCTGACCGTTTGTCTTCTCCTACTTCAGGTGTTTTTTTTCAGGTGATTTGAAGGTGATTTGAAGTAAGATTTAAAGACGCCTGCCGACTCTTTCTTCAACTTTTAACATCGACGTGATCCTCTGAGAGATTTGGGGAGTGTTTGCAGTGTTATGAAATAAATCAGGGTTTCTTTCAGACAAATCATCCCACACAGAGAAGAATTCATTTCTAACAACATAGATCTCTGTAGACCTGCAGGCAGCCCTCTCTGTTTGTGTCTGGACTCTGATATGAAGCAGCCGTCTGCAGGTCTCAGACCTGCGTCTGCCGCTCTATTATTAAGAAGAGGATCAGGTTTGTGGACTCGGCTCAGCTCTCCCTCTGAGAGAAACTTTATCTGATTAGTTTTGTCCTTCACCAGGCACCGTCCTTTACTGCTGGAAAAAACCACATCAGCAGGAGAAAGAGGGATCACAACTTATTTAGTGCTCTTTGAATTCTATGGATCGTATTGTTTGTAAACACGTGGCGTCCAACAGCATCACACATTCTGACACGCTTCATCAAAACAGACAAACAGATGCTCAGAAACGGAAACGCAAGAGGTAAGTGTGAAGAACTGCGAGCTCTCACAGTATAACTATGAACATGTATGAACACACAGAGCGGGATGAACAGCAGCAGGACCTGCAGACACGTCTCCTCATGAAACACCAAACAGTCCCTTCACATCCTGCAGAGACCAACAAACGACCGCCAGCTGCAGCTGGGGCGCCGCCAGCCGCTCAGAGGTCACATGACAGAGTCACGCAGAGTGAAGCCCAGAGGCAGTCTGTAAGAAAAACAAGCAGAGAAGAAGAAGAAGAAGAAGAAGAAGAGGAGGAGGGCAGACGACGAACCTTTTCATCTCCTCTCGTGTAAACTCGTCGGCTCAGAGTTCAGCTTCATACATCTGTACCTATCTGTGTTTTTTTTGTTTTTTTTTCAGGGGACTATCTGAGCCGCGCTCTTCCTTCTGTCAGAGTCTGGTTGTTTTTTTTTAAACGGCTCCCGTCCCAGTCCCTCCCCCCTCCTCCACTGTCCTCCCCCCTACCTCCCCCCCTCCCATCGCCCTCTCTGCTGTCCTGGACGAGTCCGCTCTTAAAAAAGATCCGCCGGCTGCGACCCCGCCTTGCTGCCCCGCCTGAGCCGGGGCGGGCGCCGCAGCCACACGGGGGAACTGTTTAAAATCCAGCACGTCTTTGTACTGGATCTCCGGGCGGATCATCCTCAGGCACGCCGTCCTGGTGGCGTTATCGAGCCCCGGGTGCAGCTCGTAGCCCAGGATCTTCACTAATCCGCTCTGGAACGGTCGGATGTTTCGGTCTCGGATCCTCTGTGCCTCCACAGGCTTCCCTCCGTCCCTGAGACAAACCCGGGCCAGGTCGTCCCGCCGCGTCCTGAGGAGAGCCACTTCCTGCTCCATCTGGGCGTGGCCGAACTTCTCGATCTCCTCCCAGAAGGTCTTGTTGAAGGCTTTGTATAAGTACCAGTCTAGGGCGTTCCACTGACGCAGTTTCTCACGCTGATCCTCCGTCAGCGGCAGGTTGGGCACCGACTTTGCTTGTAGACGTCCAACTCTGCCACCAACGCCCGCTGCCGCCGCCGCTTTCCCCACCCAGCTCCCCCCGATCCCCCCGACACTGCTGGGCTTCTGCTGTCGAGCGTTCAGGCTGAAGGAGACGACGGCGTCCAGCGGCCAGCAGAGGGCGTGCCTGAGCAGGATCATGGACTGGTCGAAGTACTCAGAGACCAGAATGAGCTTGAAGGCGCGCCGGATCATGGCCGTCCCTCGCTGAGCCAGCGCCACGGAGAAGTTAGCGTTGTGGTCCATGCCGAAGTCGAACCACAGCAGGTTGCGGGCGTAGTGGTTGTTACGGAGACGAGGGTCGTAGTATTTTCTGGGATCGTCAGCGAAGTCGCCCAAACCTTTAGCTTTCCTGAAGGCCGGAGCGACTTCTTTGTAATAAGCGAAGGAAGACTCAGCGAGCGCCACGGGGTCTCTGACGATGGAAAAGTAAAACGTGTCAGCAGGCATGACCTTCTCCACCTGAGAGACACAAAAACAAGAACACCGTTAACCACAGGAGTTTCATTTAATCACAGCTGTGTGTTTGCAACAATCTGCCCCATGAAACGTTTTAAACTTGTTTGCTGTCTTACAGCTTCTCCAAACTGATCAATGTTTGACTCCGCTGCTCCACTACTTCATTTTTAACAGAAGGAACAAAACTGTGTTCATCTCCAAACAAAATACCTGTTCAATTTACAAAACTTTAAAAGGAGCAATATGTAACTCTGACCCCTAGTGTTTAAAATGAGTACTGCAGTCCAAATTCTAAACATCATAGAGAGCTGTCTCCCCCCCGCCCCCTCCTCTCTAGAGTAGATGCTCTCGCAGGTCACCATGTGGTGGACACTGAAGCTTCAGTGTTTATCCAGCTCTGCATCAGTCTGTAAACCTTTCTGTGTTCTAACCTCTCTCCATTTTTCAAAAGCATCTCCAATATTGATCCTAGTTTGAGCACGTTTCTGCTCGTGGAGCTTATTAGAAACATGCAGAGGCTTTTTAGGTCGGGTACAATAACTTCTATCTGAACCACTTCTCTTCCATCACTGCAACACCTGTTGACCTGATAACTGCTCTCATATCTGACAAACTGAGGGGCGTCCAAAACAGCCGTGTGGGGGTGTCTTAAAACCGCCTACCTCCTCTGGTCCAAACAAATCCAGATCATTCAGGACCAGAATCTAAAGTTAGAAGGAGGACATACTGACTGCTGCATTGTTGTCAGAGAAGCCAGCACTTCAACATGTTTCCTTAATGTCAGATCAGATAGTAAAATCACTTTATCATTTCACTCACTACACATCTCACTGGTTGGACCGTCAGGGTCCTACACACATGGCAACCTGTGTGAGCATCGACTCTAGAGAGGAGGGGGCGGGGGGAGACAGCTCTCTACAGTGTTTAGAATTTGGACTGCAGTACTCATTTTAACCACTAGGTGTCAGAGTTACATATTGATCTTCTTGGTTTTTATTGGTTATTCTGTGATGAGGAAGAATGCTTTTATAATTTTCACCAGAAACTCTTCCTGTTTTAGGAGTTAGTCCAATCAGTGTTGATGCTCGCTGTAGTCTCTAACTGAATAGATTCCTCGTTGTTGCTTTACTGAAATAAAACTTCACATGTCCCAGAAGCATTAAACCCTTTTCACTACACAATATCATCATGCTCAATGTTCTCCATATCTCACCTCTGGCTTGTTAAACCTCATGTGGTTGCCCATGATGTTGAACTCAACGGCCCGGGGGCCTCTGTACCCCTTCACCCTGTGAGCGTTGAAGGGCAGCGGGTATCCCAGCTGGTATCCGAGCGGCAGGGCGAAGCGGAGGTCCCGCTCCTCCCCGAAGCGGTACAGCATGTTGAGCACGGTGCTGCTGGCCGTCTTGTGGGTCTTCAGGAACATCATGTGCATGTGGGGCTGACAGGAGCCCAGCGAGGGGCCCTGAGCGTCAGGGGACGAGAAGATGGAGCGGGCGGCCGGCTGGACGCTGCTGGAGGACACGGAAAAAGAAGAGAGGATTTCAAACTGTGTCTGTTTGACATTTTTAGATCCTCAGCAATGAATCTGTTTCAGTTAGCAGGAGTTAGCCTCTCCTGCACGTCCCTCTCATGAAATAGAGACTTTACTTTTCAATACTAATGATCATTAAAATAACAGACTGTTTAAAATCCTGAGGTCTCACGTTTGAAACAAGTAAACTTGGAGACAAACTTGTTCCTTTCAAACCCTCATGTTCAGCCTGTTCCTATAGTTATATCTCTGCCTCAGCCCTGAAACGTAAACCCAGCATCAGTCGGGCTCGAGAGCACGGGTCAGCGTGCAGGGCAGCCATTCTTTCTGCTTCCAACGCGCCACTGCAACCTTACACCCCCTGTGGGCCCTGAGAGCCAGATGTTACCGGTCCTCTACAGCACAAGGAGAGAGCGTGTGTATGTGTGTATGTGTGTGTGTGTGTGTGTGTGTGTGTGTGTGAGTAGTCGGAAGCAAAAGTGCCGTAACTCAGCCCAGCCGTCATCACGTCTTTGTACGTTCATATTGAGTGATGTAATGTTGGCGCCCTAGTCTGTGAGGTCACATTGTGTTCCACCGTTGCAGAAGCACGGCACAGCGGGAGCTCCACATACACACACAGTCAGACATGTACACACACAGGGGAGGGGGGGGTCACTTCGCCCCCGCATTACACCTCCACAACATTAAGACTGAAGGAGAAACGTCACAGGGGCGTAAATATCACGACTTGAAACGGCGCTCTGAACAGGACTGGACACAAGAAAAAAACAGCAACAATCGTCTTTTGCCTGCTAAGGGAATCCCTGAAGAGGAGTCATGATCTCAAGTGTTTCTGTGTCAGTTATGTAAATCCGCCCACAGCCGTACTGAAATACAAAGGGGGCCGGGGGGCTTATCGTGCTTCGCCTTGGTATGAGACAACTGGGTGTAGTGTGAGAGCGCCCTTAAAAAAATGCTCTCAGTGAGAGAATGAACAGCCGACTGCTCAGAGAGTCAACCAAACACAGAACAAGACATCTGCCATCTCGTTGCCATGGTAGCTGCTTATCAAGCACAGGTAGCCCCACCCCTAACTCCTCCCCCTCTTCCTGGTCTCTGTGACTTTTAAAGGGATACTTCTGTATTGACATTGGGTCACAGTGCTTACTACTTACTACTACTTACTACTGCCTACTTATATAGCCACGAACATCCGATTGGAGCACCTTCAAAATCCCCTTCATCCATATCAGTTTGAACCATCAGTTTTGACCATTCAAAAACACTACCAGGTTTCTAATTATACAACACTTAATGCAAATGGCTGAAGTATCCCTTTAATGGAAACATAATTTATTAGATGAACACCATGATGTGTTTTATCAAAGACTTCTCTACAATCGACAGCCCCCTGCTGGACATCAGGAAGAATATCTCTCTCTCTCTCTCTCTGTTCTTAAAAACAGTCAGCTGTCCGCGCACAACGCTTGTTATCCAGCCCTCGTTTATTTGTGTGTGTGTGTGTGGTGTGTGTGTGTGTGTGTGTGTGTTCTATTTTACACTGCATGTCACACCTACACATTCACACACTGATGTTAGTGGTTGCTATGTAGTATCATCCATCAGAAGTAACTAATCCATTCATACACCACCACCGAAGCAGCGGGAGCAATTCGTGGTTAAGTGTCTTGTCCAAGGATACATCGAACATGTTGCCCAGCTGGGGATCAAACCCTCGACCTCTGGTTGAGAGGCGACGACTCTACCAACTGAGCCACAGCAGTGTGTGAGTGTGTGAAGATTAAACATAAGAGAGAAATGTGAGAGAAGGTGTGTCTCTGCAGACAAAGCAGCTTCACACACTGACATGTGAGTGTGTGAACTCTCTCTCTCTCACTCACACACTCACACACACACACACACACACACACACACACACACACACACACACACACCACACACACACACACACACACACACACACACACACACACACACACACACACACACACACACACACACACACACACACACACACACACACACACACACACACACACACACACACACACACACACACACACACACACACACACGCGCACACAGGCGCACACACACACACACACACACACACACACACACACACAGACACACACAGACACACACTAGAGCCAGGGCACGACTTTGACGATGAACTTCATCTGTAGCTGCAGATTGTTAGAGATAAGAAACATATGAATGTACTGATGTCACAGTAGCTTTTAAAACGGGTTACGGCGCTCAAACATGTGACAATATGTGCAGAGTTAAAATAACTTCTTCTGGAGGGTTGAGAAATGTTCATGTGTCCACATCCTGAATTGTTTGTGTGTTTATCTTCTAACATGAGTCAGACATCCAATCAAACAGGCTTCTCAGTTACCATGAAAATGACTCTGATGAATCTGAGGTCGTACCTCCCACCACGATTAACATGATGACTCGTTCACTCAGAAACATTCACTCTGATCCTGTATTTGATCATGTCTATAAACTCCTCTATTTCAGCCCTGCTCAGAACAGGCTGATTCTGTGTCTGTATCTTTAAATATGTAAATGACCTGTGTCTGACCACGCCCCCTCTCTGAAGAAGGACTTGGGTGTTTCTGGCTTTCTCGCTCCATGCCCTGTTGTTTACGGTGAGAAGGCAGACTCAGAGGGCAGAACAAACACCTAGCTGTGGGAGAGTCACCCACCTGGGGGAGGGGCTACTGCCCTTTGTGATGTCATGAAGGGAAAATCTCCAAACGGCCTGTTTGGGAGGATGGACTTTTATCATCATTGGGGGGTTTGTAGACAGACCAGAGGAACATGGAGAAGTGGATTTTAAATATTTGACCTTTAAGAAGAGATTTTTAATCTCAGGGAGTTTTTAAAGATGTAATCAGAAAACGTATTTTAATACAGTTATAGTTTCTGACTTGACCGGTCGTTCGTTAAGAAACTTGTCTTGTGCCTAATCGAGGATTTAGTGTTTTTGAAACGAGCAGAACAAACGCTCGGCTATTTCTGTACTGTGACGCATCAACATCCAGCGGCGTCTCTCTACACGTCTCTGTCTCGTAGATTCCTCTCTTAGTGAAGGACAGCCACACAGAAACACTGGGAGCAGCTTTATCAGACATGAAGACGGTGAAGTCTCTCCCCCTCTCTCTCAGGAACGTTAACGGTCATCATTCACGTGGTCGTCTCTTTGCCGTTCGCTGCTTCGAACGCGAGGATGAACGTTCAGCTGGTCCGTGTTGATGATTCTGTGACGACTGTGGAAAGTGATTCCCATTGCCTAACGTCCATCCCGTCTGTTTATCTGTATTACTCTGTGTCGGTTCCTCTCCGTGGTTCTCGTGGGCGCAGCAGTCACGTGACGACTCAGGCCGCTGCACGCACACGCGAGCTCAGGACTTCTTCCTCTGCTGCTTCTTCTTCTTGTTTTGGTTGAAAGGCAGATTTAGGGAAAGGGAAGTTTGTGCCGACTCGTTTCAGTTCTGAGTCCGTCTGAGGCGTGAGCCCCGTCAGGTCAGAGGTCATCAGGACCGTTGGACTTTGTAACAACTGGTTTGAGATTCATATAAATATTTTAAAGTATTTATGAGTCCAGCAGGATTCTGTTTCCTTCTTACTTCTAAAAGAGAAAAATAAACGACACCGAGGTCTCTAAGAAAAACACAAACGTGTCAACGTACCAGAAGATTAAATATGTGTTACCACGGCAACAAAAAGTCCTCGGCACGCCAAGATTAAAACAAGTTTTTCTGAAGATTTATTTTTGGGCTTTTTGTGCCTTTAATGGAGAGATAGGACAGAGGATCGAGTCAGAAAGCAGGGAGAGAGAGAGTAGGGAATGACATGCGGGAAAGGAGCCACAGGTCGGATTTGAACCTGGGCTGCCCGCATGGACTACAGCCTCCATGCACACACACGTGATGATCCCTTCTCTCCTTTGTAACGCCTGATGGTACGGGGGGGGGGGGGGGGAATATAGTTCTTGACTTCTGAACTTGATTTTTATTTAATTTTTGGACCGATAAATTACACAACCTCTGGGACTTCTGTTGTTGTTGTTGTTGCCGTTGCCAACAAACAGGTGTCAACATCATTTGATTTTTACTGAAATCAAATCGGAGTTTAAACTTCTCGTATCGTGTCTGCGTCACTTCAGAGGGTTTCCGGTTCGATCCCCTATTCGTACTCCTGAGTCATGTAAACAATCTCGCCCTAATTGGACCCCCCCCCCCCCCCAAAGCAAGACCAGATCCAGGTTTAATGACCCCCGTGATGCAGAACCAGATATTCGTTTACGGGACCACCGCACGGGAAGTGAAATGAACAGGTTACCTCTTGTTGAAGATGACCCCGAGCAGTTGGCCGGCGAACCCGATGGCCACGAAGAGCAGCAGGGCTTTCCACATCCAGACCGGACCCAGCCGACCACACACCAGCAATCGCAACATCCTGAGGGGGGAGGAGGGCGACAAAGGGGGAGGAAGATACAAAGATAGACGTGAATGAAACGGTACGGAGAAGGAGCAGGAGGGAAATGAGAACAGCACAGACGGGCAAAAAAAGGGGAAGAAGAGATGAGGAAGGAGAAGGCGAGACGTGATGTTGTCACAACACAAGAGGAGACGAGGAGCGAAGTGTGGGAGAGAGGGGGGGGGGGGGGGGGGGGGGGTAAAAATAGGGATAGAGAGAGAGAGTTAGATGAGCCATAAAACAACCATGATTATAGAAACATCTTCATCTTCATCAAAACATCTGAGGAGAAACTCGGAGGATTTTAAATGAGTCATGGCATTATGGTTTTAATGAACAGTAGCGAGGCAGCCCCGACAGAAGACGACGAAAAGGAGGAGCATGTGGGATTGTGGATTTCAGACGTTCAAACAGACTGTTATTAGGAGGTCAAGTGGTTGCCATGGTTACTTCTTTTTTTCTGCTTTTTGGTAGATCTGCAAACCAACTATGTGCATACCGCCCCCAGCTGTATCGTACTGTGTGCACACACAAGAGTACTCGGGTACGGAACGATGTTACTGATGTAAACGCAGCTCAGCGGGGGAGAGGGGGAGAGGGGAGGAGGGAGGGGTAAACACCCAGAAAAGACCTCCACCACATGACCTGAGGGGTCAGGGTCGGGTTGTAGGCTGTGAGCAGCGTCAGAAGAATACTTCCAAGCTTTATGGACTAATCAAAGGATTTTAAAGGTGCTTCTGTACGGGGAGCCAGAGGAGCGTTTAGAGGACCGGACTGATGTGTTCAGATGTTCCTGTACGGGTCAGGACTCTGGCTGCTGGACTCTGAATGAGTTGAAGTCGTCCTACAGACTGTTTTGGATGATCCTGCACAGAGAGCCTTACAGTAAACTAACCTTTAAATGAATGCATGAACTCAATTTGGGGATATGAAGGATCACAGCTGCTGTCAAAGCTGAGATCTGAACCCAAAAACATAATCACAATATGAGGATTTCTCCACAAATCCTGCAGGATTATTCACAACACAAACGGCAGAGTGTGAAAAACAATCAGGTTTGAACATCTCAGACTGTGATCCCAGTGAGCTCCCTCACATCATTCAAACATTATTAAACATCTGGGATTAATGGAAGGAAGCAGCTAGTCGACTACGTGTCGTCTTCTGGGGCCTGATGTGCAGGAAAACGTGACACTGAGCCCTCCAGGCTGCCGTACATGCAGAGGAGGGATTTGTTCCCACATACCTCGAGAAGCCGCCTGTGAGGCGTGCGAGGGGAACATGTTTCACCTTAAAGTGTGGCGGAGAGATGCGCTCGCAACAAAGCAGCTCGACGTGCTGTGAAAGGACCAACAGAAGCAGCCGTCCTCTTTCTCAGCAACTGTCCCTTTAAAGGCGCCGGCAGGACCTCTGAGAGGCTGTGTTTGGTCGTGATGTCACACGTGTACAGTCACCACACTCAGTCATGCCTGCAGCGTGGCCCACGGCGTGATCACTGCACCAACGCTGCACAATCACTGAATGTCAGGGAGAATGCATCACTGCACACACAGAGAGCAGAGTGGTTCTTTTTATGAGCCTTTTTAGACATTTGTTTGGCTTGTTTCAGCGCCGGCCGCTTCCTCCATCACACTCAGAACAACGCAGGGTTCTCAAAAAACGCCACTCATTCGTCAAAATGTCCTGGATCACGTCGAGCTACAGAGAGGACATGAGAGAGAGACGACTGAAACGCAGAGAAATCTAACCTCCTTAAAGGTGTTGTCAGGCCGAGGAGATGTTTGAACATCGTGACACTCAAACGGTTTTTAACACAATAATCTCAACTCAAACAGGAAGTTCACTTCAGGCTGAAAGTCTTTGAGTGCTGAGATTCTCACGATTTCCTCAGATTACATCATCTCAAAGTCCAACCCCACTGCTTTTAACAAACCAGCGTTTTTAGAGTCGGTCTCTTCTCAGAGGAGACGAGCATCAACAACTCAGCGTCCTCTCCGCCTGTCTGCACTCACGCTCACAAAAAAGACAGAAAATGTAAACACTGATGGCTGGGAAATGGAAACGTCTTAACGTAAGAGCCGCACACATTAACCCCCGCCAAAATAAAGCTCGGGTATATTTGGGCAAGCCCAGACTCCCTGGTCCAGATTTATCTCCTCATATTTTTTTTCCCTGAAGGATTCTGTACTTCCCCGTTCTTCTTCCAGAGTTTTTTTTCCATCATAATTAAATATTTTGGGCAACAGCAGACTCCAACTCCGGGGAAGTTTGACTCAGCATCAAGTAATCGGTAACATACACTTACAAATTTAGAAGGTGGAGAAATGTGAGGAAAATATGGACCACAGAGTCTTGGAATAGTTTGAAATAGTAGAATAATAACAAACTTCAGAGATGGGTGTAGGAATGAGATGTGGGGGGAGGGGGGGGGGGGGTGTCATTGACCCAACCAGAACCAGAACCAGAACGAGTGAATCCATTCATCTGGTTTATGAATACGAACATTCTGCTGAAACCCGAAAGATTGTTCAAAAGATTTTATCATTTTATCATTAAAGGAGCAGTATGTAACTCTGACACCTAGTGTTTAAAATGAGTACTGCATGGGTCCAAATTCTAAACATCATAGAGAGCTGTCTCCTCCCGCCCCCTCCTCTCTGAAGTTGACACGCAGGTCACCATGTGGTGGACACTGAAGCTTCAGTGTTTATCCAGCTCTGCATCGGTCTGTTCTAACCTCTCTCCATTTTTCAAAAGCATCTCCAATATTGATCCTAGTTTGAGCACGTTTCTGCTCGTGGAGCTTATTAGAAACATGCAGAGGCTTTTTAGGTCGGGTACAATCACTTCTATCTGAACCACTTCTCTTGCCCGCTTCCATCACTGCAACACCTGTTGACCTGATAACTGCTCTCATATCTGACAAACCGAGGGGCGTCCAAAACGGCCGTGTGGGGGTGCCTTAAAACCTCCTACCTTCTCTGGTCCAAACAAATCCAGATCATTCAGGAGCAGAATCTAAAGTT